TGCAGAATTAAAATTATTGATCGTAAAAATTTTACATTGGTAAGCGTGATAAAAGAAACAGGTCAAGTAAAAAAGAACAGAGGAAGTATTTTTTAATTCCAAGTTGGGCATTTGAGATCTTCTAACTTTGATTACTGGAGCGAGATTGCAGTTTGCAGATGTATAATTTCTGCAATCTCTCCTCGTGCCTCAATATTGTTTATTTCTTTCAACTGTACTAAAATCACCACCGTCACCACGTATGTCGCCTCCTCAACCCACCACGAAACAACCGATTGCTACCCTCATTTCCTTTATGGAGCCTCTTATTAAGGCCCCTCAATAAGTTTGGAAGATTATAGAAAAATGGTCAGACTTCAGAGAAACTAATTATCAAGATATCCTGCAGCAGAGTTAATTTATCATACCACAATGATTAATTGGCCAAAAAAAAAAAAAAACCAAAGATGGAAATTGAAACAGCAGCAGCAGGTTATAATTATACACAAGACATTATAGATTAATATTATATTGAATACAAGCAAGAGAGTTTAAAAACCTTTCCAACATGATCACGAACGAAGACAGAATATAGAAAGCCAGCAGTAATAATCCTGATAATCATCAAAATAATCCTGAGAATAACAATAATAATACTGTATTTATAACAATGTAATAATAGACGAAATACTAATCTGTAATATGATTGATGCAAAGAAAATAATAAAACAAGGCGTGCTTAGAATAATCTATTTGGTATTGCGAGATATAGCTGTCAAAAGCTGATTTGATCCTACCCGAACTCAATTATTGACCAACCTGTTTGAACCCGGAAAAATGGTGACCCAAACCCGATATGAACCGACCTGAGACCCGACCCGACCCGAGTTAATCGGCCAGGAATTACTTAAGGAGTTCGGTCATGGGTAATTCGGTCAAGGGTTATTTGAGAGTTTAGTCAGAGGTTACTTGAGGGGTTACTCAGTGAGAGGTTACTTAAGGGGTTACTCGGTCATGGATTACTTGAGGGGTTACTCGGTTAGGGTTTACTTGAGGGGTTACTCAGTCAGGAGTAACTCAAAGTAACCCCTGACCGAGTAACTTGAGTAACCCCAACAACTCGAGTAACCCCTTACCGAGTAACTCGAGTAACTCCGGCAACTCGAGTATGTAACCCCTGATCGAGTAACTCGAGTAACCCTTGATCGAAAAACTCGAGTAACCCCTGCCGCACGGTACAATAGGCCGCATGCAAAAAATTGGGTTTTAAATATATGCTAAATATATTCTAAGCTACTTGTAAAGTCGTGACTTTGTAAGGCTAAAACTACTCTATGTATCCGAACCTGATATGACCCGACCTAATATCAATCCGAGACCTAGATTAACCTAATATTTGATATCCGAACCCGAACTTGACCCGACTTGAAAATGACCCGACCTGATTATAACCCGCAAATTATTGACTTGATTGAATCGAACCCGACACGAATCTGATAATGACCCAACTTGATTATAACCCGCAAATTATTGACTTGAATCGAACTCGACTCGAACCTGAGAATGATCCTAACTCGTTTTAACCCGTTAAAACCTGAATTAAACCCGACCTATTATTCACCCGATCCGAATGTAACCGACCTGTTATTGACCCGACCTAAACCCGATAAGATGTATGACCCGACGTGACCCGACTTAAGCATGACCTAACCCGAACCCAACCCGCATAGGTTACAACATTAATTTGAATTGACCTGTCCCGAGTTAACCTGACCCACACTAACCCGATCCAAACCCAACCAGTTTACAAGAATTGACAGCTCTATTGCGAGAGCGGTGTGCTTGAACATGATCACGCAAATTCTCCTAGGCGATTTGTTGCCTAGCCAAGTTCGCCGCTTTCCGAATCTCAGATTGCCTAGCATCAGCAGAAGCAGCTTTCACTAACATTGCCTCTGATAACCTTGCGAAATTTTGATTGATTTCAAAAGGCCCTAAAGGATCCATCTTTGGATCCCTAGATCTTATATGATAATCCGCCAATTTGGGGTTGATTTCAAACCCCCATTTCCATCTTTTGAATCCATCAAGGAAGAACCTTAAATCTTGTATTATAACGAATTAAACAATCAACAAATTTTCTCTTTTGCGAGTATGATTATTGTACAATGATCCAAGCTAAATATCCTAGCTTGAGTTCTCAATTTATATTAAAATTAATATAGATTCCGTGCATGCTGATAGTAGTAAAAAAATTTAATTAACTTATTAATTTAAAGATTATCATAATTAAACTTTAATGAAATTAATTGAAACATAACTATGTCTCGCCTTTTCAATTTATAGTACTAACATTAATTTCATAAGAAATTACTATGTATAATTTTATTTTATTTTTTTTTTAAAAAAAAATTGATTTTAGTTTATACATTTTCTTATTAGTTGATTAGTAGAAATTTTATAAATTATTGATTTATTGAATAATGTTATTCCAACTTTAGATTTGTAACATTTGTTGCAATATAAAAAGGAAATTTATTGTTAATAATAGTTAATGAAATATCGTGTACATACTTGACCTTGAACATGATAATTTAAATTATGGTAAGATTTAGTAACGGTAATAAAAAGAAAATTGTGGAAAGTAAAATTAGGCGGGAAATTATTTTACCAGAAAATGACATGTGTCATCGGAGATTCGCCTTTAGTATAGGTTTATTGATAGTTAGAAAATGTTGTGAATATAGTTTTGCAGTTTTGCAAGAGCGACATACTTAACACTAGTGTTAAAAAAACCTTTAAAGATTCTCAACCAAAAGTTTAAACAAATAGTGGTTTATATATATCCTATCATGCCCCCTCACATGAGAGTTTGTTGGGTTCGAAGTGTGAATATATGCGATTGGGCTACAGGGGTGGATGAGATTAGAATGCCGACTCTTGATAACATGTTAGAAGACTATCTTAACTAAAAACTTAAGCTGATGATGGTTGAACCCCATAATTGGTTTATACTCTCTATTCAATACAATATGAACTACCAACTAATTCTATTGCTCTGTTGGCAATTGAGCTGATCAATGAGCCACTAGCACCTGCTGTGACTCTAGACACCTTGAAGAACTACTATCAACAAGGATGTTATTCAAGCGCGTATGTTATATAAGAAGTTGCTTGCACGCTAATATATAACGCAGAGATACGTGTATTGTGGTACATATCACACATGCCAATTAATTATCAATAGCATGCATGGTGTACTGGTAAGAAAGTAACGTATGTAGTTCAATAACACCTAATAAATTTTGGTAAATTTGATACGAATCATCTTATCATGTTCATTTAAATGCAGGAGAATGGGTTGCTGAGTGGGAGGTGAATGGAGCAACAAAGGTGGATTATATAAACTTTGCAAATGCACAACTACAAGTGTATGGTCATGCAACCTTTGGATGGACTTACAAGAATGTGAACAACTAACCATTAGAGTCTTCAGTGCATGATTCAAAATGGTTACATCACACTTAACAGTAATTAGTGTCAATCGACCCCGACCCGTCCTTTTAAGTTTAAGGCTTCGATGTTGTTTGTACGCAAACTGGACCCTTTTTTTTGAATGGATCAATATAAATAACGTACCTAGCATGTGATTAATTGACATGATAACGTACGATATGATGCATGTGATTACCTGATGCGAATATTAGGTATATATTTTCTTTGTTTTTACTAACATTGTAAGGATGAAATTATGCATTTTAAAACATGTTTTATGTTAAATTTATATAATTATATAAATGTAAAAATTATAAGAATTTGATATTATGAAAGTATATTACAAAACGAATCTAATAAGTCCATAATAACTATACTTTTCTTAACGTATAAATTATAATATGAAGTCAAATAAGAGTGATAAATAGTGCAAAACTCTAATTGTTGCAAGAGTAATGAGTATATGATACAAACCTATGACCGTTTTTCCAATTAATTAATAAAAATAACGTACTCTGTACGAAGATGTAATTAATTAATACACCCTTCGTATTTTATTAATTGCTCCATTTCTCCTTACGCGTAGTTTTAAGAGGAATAATAAACAGTAATAAAAAATAATGGAAGTGGAGTTAGCTAAAGAATAAAAATATCAATTAGATTATTCTCTTAGATTTCAAATTAATTTTCATCACTAAGGTTTGTGTGTCATGAAAAATATCACAATAGCAAGTATCAAAGAATACAAAAGATTAAAGCAAATAGTGAAAATCAGTTATATATATAATTTTTAAACTGAATGTGCGTGCATTATTCTTGTAAAAAATGTGCAATATTTTAAAAATGATATGTGCATATTTGCTAACAGAAATGTGCAAATTCTCTGTACTATAGATGCTTACCTTTTGAGTTAAATGTGCATAATGTTGAGTATTCAGTAGATGAGCAAGGCATATCTATTTAATGCTTATTTTTTTCGTTTTGCCTACTAAAACATACCTCGTTTAATGAGACACTTTTGATATTTTTTTTTTGTCAATTTTGATTTCAAATTGGATCTTAAGGGTAAAAATGACCCTAAAACCTTTAAAAAAAAATATGTTTTTGGCATGAAAATCGAAGAAATTTTATTAAAACGTTAGATTTAACGGTATTTTTAACGGAAATTGTTTAATGGTGATAAAATATAACTTTTTTTCGTCTTTTTTTTATGGTATTTTAAATTAAATTTTTTTATGAGTGACAATTTCAAAAATTAAGTTATTTGTGGGTGGTAAAATACAAAATTTCCTAACTAATATTTTAATTGAAAATATTTTACATCAAACTTAAATGCGGGCAATCAAATGATGGTTAGAAAAAGTTAACTTCGCAATACCATATTATTTCTAGACTAATTGCGTGTTGTCAATGATGACAATTATTTCCTTCCTATTGTCTTACTTCATACGGAGTACTCCGTATACTCTTACAGTATAAATATTCATACCCTTTGAAATCATAATCAAATAACCAGAATATTTCATTTGTAAGAAGCTGATCGTTAAAAACTAAAAATAAATACAGGCGAAAGATTTAATGAAGATTATTTGTGCTAAATCTGCCTTTTTATGTTCATTGTTAGTAGGAATATGTTGCATACAAAGCTTGATAATAGGGTGTCAAGCTGGAAGGGCTAATAGAAGTCTTGCCGTAAACCCAGGTTTTAAAGTAAAGGCAGTTAATCTTGGTGGATGGCTTGTTACTGAAGGATGGATTAAACCTTCTCTTTTTGATGGCATTCCTAACAAAGAATTGCTGGTATCTCTCTTTCTCTTTCTTTGTCTAGCTTTTATTTTGAGGGATTTGTAGTCGAGTATTTCATTTTAGGATGTCTGGGAAAATAAACAATGCTATATTTAGGGTCATCTTAAACATTTTGACGGCCCTGTGCTATTTTAAATATTCCGTGTTGTGTATGCAGTGGGATTTGATCGCTGCCCACCACATTTATAACAAATACTTTGCCAACTATGCCAGAATTACTCAACAAATTTACTACGTATTAGACATTTAAATTTAAACATTTTATACTCAGGGACCGTTTGGTTTGGGGTAATCAGGAAAGGGAAAGGGAATCAACAAAAATGATTACCTTAGTTGTTGTTTGTTATGTCAATTCAATCATTCCCTTTCCCCACTTAATTACCCAAAAATCCTCTACTCTCATTCCCTACCCCCCATGGTATTTGCATTCCCTTTCCCCTAAGCCACCAACACCACCACTGCTCCACCCGCACTAAGATCCCACCATCATCGGAACCCTTCCCACCACTGCCCCATCAGCACCGCCGCTCTTCCGATCTTCCCACCACTGTCCCGTCAGCACCACCACCGCCCCACGACCCGAAATCAACCACCCTCCACCTTAAAAACACACCACCCACCAAAAATCAAACGCAATACGAGCTTCGAGGGTGGTTGGGAAGGGTTTCGAGGGTGGTTGGGTGGTTGGGGAAGGGTTTCTAGGGTTTTTTCGAGGGTGGGGGAAGTTTTTCGGGGGAGGGGAAAGCTGTTTGGGAGGAGAGGAAGTGCGACAAGGGGTGGGGCAGGTGCGGCGAGGGGCGGGGTGGCCGGAGAAGTGGGATAGTGAAGAAAAAGGGGTTTGTGTAGTGGTGGTGGTGGTGTGGTGGTGATGTGGTGTATTTTCATTCCCTTTGATTTTTAAAACAAACAACACCCTAAATTTGAGGGATTTTTATTCCTTTCTCTTTCATTCCCTTTGTTCATTCCATTCCGATTACCCCCTACGAACCAAACGACCCCTTATTCTATATTGCCATATTTTAAATTGGATTCCATATGTGAGGCTTTGTGCTATTGGGTTGTTTGCACAGCTTAATAGCTGGCCCTAGCTATATTTGTATTGGATTTTCATGATTTATTATTAAGTTTTTTTCCTTTGGAAAATTTGGAACATGTAAAATGTGTTACATTTGGTTCTATGAATAAGATTAACCCATTTTATTTGCACTATACTTGTTTGGTGTAAGTTCAACTTGGGGCTATTTTTGTGGTTGGTTGGGTAATTCTCGCCGGAAAAGAAGGCATCAAGTGAGAAAGATATTCAGCAGGATACTCACTCAAAACAAAAAGTTATTAGTTTTTAATTTTTTTATGCCAAGCTATTGAATAATATATAGAAGTATATTATATATTTATTAAACACAATTAATTTGTTAAGTACTTAAAATCATACAGGATGGAACACAAATTCAGTTAAAATCAGTGACAATTGGGAATTATGTATGCGCTGAGAATGGTGGAGGGAGCATCTTAGTTGCTAACAGAACCTCTGCATCAGGTTGGGAAACCTTTAAGACCGAGCTAATTAAATTTAGTTCGGTGAATAAGGGCTCGATATATGAAGAGGTCTAAGATTTTACAAGCTATTGTTACAGACCAAGGAAGGAATTTGGGTCCAAGCTTCCAATCCCAAAAGAGCAGCCCAAGCCACGAGTCTTGCTGGGCGTGGTGTTTGCCGGGCCCAATCAAGCGAGCATCATTCTAGTGCGCGTAATTGCTGGGCTAATAATGGGACTTTGATTAGATTTGCTATTGACATCTTTATCACTAGTTTTAGTTAGGCTAGGATTTTCTTAGTTGACTTTTAATATGATTCCTTTTCTTTATAAAAGGATAAGAGGAGTAGTAGTAGTTTTTTTGGCCGTAGGTAGTTTTAGTTTTAGGTAAATTTAGTTTCTTATGCTTTTTGACATTTTAGTTTTATTATTACTTTGCTTTATTATTTTTAATACTATTATTCTTTTTATTTTATTATTGTTTTCTTTAATTGCTTTGATTAATTTAGATTTAATTATGTGTGAGTAGTTTTATTTCTAGGGTTCGTGGGGATCCATAAACAATATGAAGGGGTAATTTATTATTATTGATTGTTAATGTTTTGGTTACTTTCCTATTGATTGATTTACTGCTATGCAATTAGATTAGCGCTGGTTTAATTGTATGAGTTATGCAATATTGATTCGAGAAATGAGAATTGATGTTTAGGCTTAGTTTCAGTAGGCAGGTTAATTTATAAATGGTTAAGTCAAGATTCGAGAGATGCGATTTAATATCGGTAGATTAATTCTGTGATTATAATACGTAGCGAAAGCCCTTTATAATCTGGTTAATTTATGCATTGATAACTAATTGTTATGTTTTATCCCGGAGTATTAATTATTGGTGAATCTATGACCCTAGGCTTTTTATTATTGATTTTTCCCTTAGTTTAATTATAGCCTTTAGTATAACTCTAACAATTCTTACTTGTTTCGTGATAATTTAAATTAGATTATAATAATTTATTAGGAATAAAAGAACATAGTTTCCCTGGGGATTCGACCCTACTTCCCTATCTATTTTAGTTAGTGGTTTTAGGAATTACTTTTGATTAGGTGATACGGCTTTAGCCTGTCACATTACTATTGTATTGTAAACCTAAATTGTATTCATTTCAACCTATCGACCTACTGGATTGGTGGACTAATTGTCACCCGCAGTTTTTACCCTTATTCCTGGGGTTTTCTGTGTCATCATCTCGTATCTCTTCTCCCCTTTCCCTTAGCTCATTCATTGCATCTCCCTTTACCATAGTCCCTTGAACGTACACAGTCATTCTCATTCAAGTTAATCTAGTTGTCGTTATTTCGAACATGGTCTAATCTAGCAATTAGATTTTGGCCAAAACACTTGTAATCAACAAATTGATCAATAAATATATTGAAATTTTTAGAGAGATAGAATGTTAAACAATCTAGAAAGACATCAATGAAAAATCAAATAACCATTATTAGTAACTGATAGGATAAAGCCGTATCATTACCTAATCATAGATAAACCTAAAGTCCACTAGTTAAAATTACAAGGGAAATAGGGTCGAATTCACGGGTAGATAGCTAGCTACTCCACGATTGTCGATTTAAAGGATCTTGATTATGTAAAAGGGGCTTGGTTTAAGAGTTGTGCATCTAAAAGGAACTCAAGCAATTAGCACGAATGAAATCGGATCATTAACAACAGGCTTAGCGCACGACCTTCTAGCATTAGGGCTTCTCAATGAGCCTTTAGCGCATGCTGTATTGCTGTGACTGTGGATACCTTAAAAAAGTACTACTCTGTATAAGGCAGGATATGATACAGTGCGCAAGCACTATACAAGCGTGTATGTTATAATATAATGGGCATCACTTAAAGCAGCCTATGGATCCAAGGGAGTTGTTTCCTCTTGCTGGTGGATTGCAGTTAACTGTAATCAATGTCCATTACTAACCTTTTTAATTTTATTAACAGCACGAGTTTCAAACACAACATCGACTTCATCTACAACAAAAGGTCCTCGGATTTGGGTTATGTCACCACCTCCAACAGCCCCCTTACGTTTGTTGGTAAGTAATCAAAGCAAAAGGCAGCTTATATATACTAGCTAGGTTGCATACACTTCCTGTAAGGACAATGAAGGTAGCCCCTTGATTAGATTAAATTAGTACATGGGCAACATGGCCATTAAACTATTAACATGAAAACTTAACCAACCATTATCAAGCTATAAGATAGATAGAATGGCAGAGAATGAAATAGAGTAGAATAATGACTAATGTAATGACACTGGCTAACTCTATCATTGTTGATCGAAATTATCTCTTTTTTTTTATTATTTTTTATTTTTTTTTTTTTTTTTATTATTATTATTTATTATTTTATTATTATTATTAAGGAGAATTATCATTCATTTCCTTATCTATATTAATTGGATGCTATTGTGTTAATTGTTACTGTAGATGTAATAAATACATGGCACGGGTCTTAAACTAATATTATTACTGAAACAAAATTAGTCTATCCATGTTCCTCTATTTCTCAAACATGATTGCCTTGTAAAAATGATTAATATAAAAAGACTTTTTAGAGAAAGACTTAATAAAGAGTTAAAAGTCTCATACCTAGCAATATTCAAACTAGTTAAAAAGTCAAAGCCTTGGACATCGGGATAGTAATAAAGAATATGCTTTGATACATAATATTTCTATTCTAGACGACAAAGAAACGTTATTTCTAGACTACTGAGCACGTTGGCAATTCATGTCCACCAAGTAATCATATTTCATACACAATATAAATATACAAAAACCCTATAAAATATACTTCGTAATTAAATAACCAGAACATTTCAACTGAAATTTCATTAAAAAAAAAAAATCGTGGGATTTATATATATAATGAAGATTGCTAAATTCACTTTCTTATGTTCATTGTTAGTAGGAATTTGTTGTATACAAAGATTGACAATAGGAATTCGCTAAAATGAAGGCTGTTAAAAGTGTTAATCTTGGAGGATGGCTTGTTACTGAAGGATGGATCATACCTTCTCTTTTTGATGGCATTCCTAACAATGACTTGCTGGTTTGTATTTCTCTCTTGATCTTTATCCATCTTTTATCTTGTTGAGATTAATACTCATAGCCATATATTCTATTTTAGGATGTCTAGGTAATGAGAATCGATCCCAAAATCTCTTGAAATTGGAGGGGAGCTCTTATCACTTAAGCTATCCCTCACTTTCTTCAAGGTCTATAAATACTACTAATTTTTATATTGCATAAAGTGTTGTAGAATTATTATGGCTAATTGAAAATTTGTCAATACCAAGCTAAGCTTAGTCTAGTGCTAAGGATTGCATCTTCCAACCTTAAGGTTGGGGCTTCAATCCCCACTAGAGACATTTTAAGGGTGGGGATCCCTTATCATTCCCCCCTCACTCTCAAAGTGACTGATCCGTAAGTAACGGATCAAAAAACCGTGAGAGTTGAGGTATGGTCAGAGTTTTTCTCCTTACCAAAATAAAATTGAAAATTTTGTCAATCAAATTTGTACTCATTAATGGTCTCCTTTATGTATTCTAACATACAAATAATTGATCAAATTATACCCAATGAATTATACTCCCTCCATTTTATAATAATCACAACAATTTATCGATACACATGCCAATTCATAACTTTGACCATTAATATTTATAATTATGTATAAATAATCGCAACAATTTATCGATATACATACCAATGCACAACTTTGACCATTAATGTTTGTAATTATATACTCCCTTCATCCCTAAATATAGTTCCCTTTTGACTTTTCATGATCTCCAAGAGGTATGTTAAAATGTCTATATCTTTATTCATACGCATAAAAATTATAAAAACTTGATATTAATGAAATATGCAATGTGACGAATCTAACAAGATCCCACATGAACATATAATCTTTTATAAATTAACAGGAATTTATGGTCAAAGTTTTCATAGTTTGACCCAAATAAGTCAAATAGAAACTATATTTAGGCATGGGGGAGTATTATTAAAAAGTATAAAAGGTTAATATGATGAAAAAAATATAAAGATACTAATCTAAAAATAGTTTGTAAGGCAACATATGTTTTTATATATTGGTTAAAAAAATATATTTAACATATGAATAGTGCAAAAAATAAATAAAAATATTTAAAATGTTACAATAATTACAAAATGGAGGGAATATGTTTTTGATGCAAAAGTATTAAATTATACGGAGTATGTAGATAGTGGACAGTGGTTGACAATCTATACTATAGTTTTTTTTTTTTTTGGTATTTTTTTTTTCAATATAAACTAATTATAATGGTTAGTATTAAGATTGTTTTGTAATTAAACACATTAACCAAGATTGCTTCAAAAAAAAAAAAAACACATTAACCAAGAAATTTTAATAAATGAGTAATTTTTAAAGTTGGCTTATATAATTTGTGGTTGAGTGGTTGTAAAAATCTTCAAAATTATTTTATTATCTAAAAGTATTTCGTAATTTCAAGGTTTGATAATATAGTATTTATTACATAGCATAATTTTTTTTTTAATATTAATCAACTAAATAGTTACCTTTCTCAAATTGTACTGTGTTAATAAATATCAATCATTGATTTTGGAATAATTTGAATTTTGGTACCACCAAAAGACCCTACTTTGATTTTTGGTACAAATCTAAAATTTATTTTTATTTCACTACATATCAAATTCTAAAAGAATAGCTTTTATTACCACTTCACGGTTTCCGTTAATGGTCATTTTTTCTCGTTTTACGGGATGGAAAATGTTCCGATAAGATTTTAGGGTCATTTTAGTGCTTAAGGGCCAAAATGTTCTGATGATATATTAGATCATGACATTGATTGAACAAATTAAATACATATTTGATTAATAATTGGTGATGTGATTGCTTTTGAATTGATCAGTTAAATGCAATTAAAAATATAGATTTTTTTATTTTTTTAACCCTAGTATAAGCCAAGAGGAGTACTAAAGTCTCTTCAGGGGATATCACAACCTCCCCCTTAGCTTATATAATAGAGATAATAAAGGTATTTAATTTTGGTGAGAAATAGAGTTTTTTTTTAATTTTTATGTCAAGTTATTTATTAAATAGAAGCATATCATTTCCTTATTTAAGACAATTAATTAAATTGTTAAGTACTAAAAATTGTACAGGATGGAACACAAATTCAGCTAAAATCAGTGACAAATGGAAAGTATGTATGCGCTGAGAATGGTGGAGGGAGCATCTTAGTTGCTAATAGAACTTCTGCTTCTGCTTGGGAAACCTTCAAGGTAAAGCTTCACTACCATCTAAACACTATCTTAGTTAATTTGTTGCAAACTCGATCTTAATGTGATGATCAGACATTTTTCTATGGTACCGTTGTAAGCTGTGACAAAGTTTTTGTATGTAGTTATGGAGAATCGACGAAAACACATTCAATTTCCGGGTGTTCAACAATCAGTTTGCAGGAGTGCAGGCCGGTGGAGACAACCCATCAGTGGTTACAGAGGCTAGCACCCCTGGAGATTCTGAAACATTTAAGATTGTCAGAAATTCTGATGACCAAAACCATATTCGAATTCAAGCTCCAAGTGGTCTTTTTCTGCAGGTTTAACTCTTAGTTTTGGCTAGAATTACACTTTTACTACGAGTAAATTCACAAAATTTTAATTTGTAGTTTGTTACTTTGTTGAGAATTGAATTAACCCGATCTTGCAGGCAAAGACAGAAGATCTGGTCACTGCAGATTATGAAAGGGATGGTGGATGGGGAGATGATAACCCATCCGTTTTTGTGATGTCTATAGGAAGAACCTTTCACGGCGAATTCCAAGTTACTAATGGTTATGGCCCGGAAAAAGCCCTGGAGGTTATGAGGGTAAGCAGTATATATACTACTTTTAATATCTTGGTTTATAGACCAACTTCTCTAGTTTAAATTTAAAATATTCTGACAAAAATATGCACATGTTCATTGTCTCAGGAACACTGGAACACATTCATCGTTGAGGAGGATTTCAAGTTCATTTCTCAGAATGGACTCAATGCTGTTAGAATTCCTGTAGGATGGTGGATAGCCAGTGACCCGACACCCCCTAAGCCTTTCGTGGGAGGATCATTGCAGGCCTTGGACAATGCCTTCACTTGGGCAGAGTACGTCTTTTTTTTAGTACGTGCTGATAACAAATTTACAAGAACTTCATAATTTGTTGATTAGGGACTTATATTGTTATGTGTTTATGTTAAACCTGCAGAAAATATGATATCCAGGTTATAATAGACCTGCACGCAGTACCCGGGTCACAAAATGGGAACGAACACAGTGGAACTAGAGATGGATCTATTGAATGGGGAAAAACTGATGATACTGTACAGCAGAGTGTCGCTGCTATCGACTTCTTAGCTTCCAGGTACTTGATCAGAAATAGAAGCTTCAGATCCTTTAATTTTAATTTCCACTAGAATTGCGCAGGAAAATTTCTTTTTTCCAATGGAGTCATTTAAATCCTGTTTTAATATAGCCTTTGTAGACTTTTATTCGAGTAAGAAGAGGGAAACATGTTTCTAAACACCGTCTTTGTATATATATATGTAAATGTAAATGTAATCTTGTACTTTCAAGATCATCACTTACTTTCGGAAAAGTTTACTGATAAAGTCCTCTCAACTATCAGTAAACTTTTCCAAGCCTTTCAAGATGTTCTGACCTTATTATATATACTGAATGCATTAAGCACACATGTCATTTGAATGCAGATATGCAAAACAATCTAGCTTGTTAGCAGTTGAGCTACTCAACGAGCCCAGAGCGCCTGATGTGAATTTGGAGACTTTAAAGAAGTACTATCAGGAAGGATATGATACAGTGCGCAAGTACTCTTCAAGCGCGTATGTTATAATGTCCAATCGCTTAGGACCTATGGATCCAAGGAGTTGTTTCCCCTTGCTAGTGGATTGCAGTTAACAGTAATTGATGTCCATTATTACAACCTCTTCTCCAGCATATTCGATAGCATGAGTGTCCAACAGAACATAGACCACATCAACAACATGTCATCGGATTTGAGTTACATTACAACCTCCGATGGCCCCCTCACTTTTGTTGGTAAATACTTTACCCGTATGCTACCTGATGAGTACAAGTGACATGAGAGTTGATAGTGGTATCTAAGAGTACTGGTATCATTAGAGGCCAATAATAAGTTGCAATGTTGTAGATCAATTTAGCCCGATCTACCAACATTCAAAATGATACCCTAAATTATCTTTAGGAAAGGTGAATTGGTAATCTTCAGGAAAGATGTATCACACTTTCCGATTCCTTATTGATTTGGATGGACCAACATGCATGACAACTTATTAGAGCATGCTTGGACCGAGGGAGATGCATTACTAGGGTAATAAAATGAAAGTGAAAATAGGGAAGGAGGAGATAGTGATGATGTGATTGTAAGGAAAATTATGTAGTGATAATGTGGTATGAGGTGAAGAAAGAGGAACTTATACCCTCATTTGGGGGTAATAGTTACATTAGGGGGAGGGACTATGATGATTCTATTCACATATAACTCAATATAGATTGCTGAGATACGTGTACGTATCACACATGCCAATTTATTATTGGCATGGTATGCAGTTATGTAGCACCTAATACATTTTCCGAAATTTGAAACTAATAATTATCTTTTTTGATGATTTTTTTTTTTTTCATTTAAATGTAGGAGAATGGGTTGCTGAGTGGCAGGTAAAAGGAGCAACAAAGGAGGATTATCAAAACTTTGCAAATGCACAACTTCAAGTGTATGGCCGTGCAACCTTTGGATGGGCTTACTGGACATACAAGAATGTGAACAACTATTGGAGTCTTCAGTGGATGATTCAAAATGGTTATATCACACTAACTAGTAGTTAGTATATTAGCCGACTTTGGCTATCCTTTTAAGTTTAAGGCTTTGGTGTTGTTGTACACATCCGTACTAGATATGAAGATCACTGGTTACCTTAACTTTATGGGATTACAACTTTGGTATAAAATAATGTAAACCTAAGACTTTATATAATTGACACGTGTGTAGTGTGGGGTCCACTAACGGTTTTTTTGGATGGCAAAATTAAGCGGTGGTGAAATCCAATTTTTGAATTTTTTTAGTGGTGTTATAATAAAAGTTTTAAAATTTGTGGTGTTATAATCAAATTTGTGTGATTTCTGTGGTGTTATTTTCTATAAAATACCATTTTTTTTAAACTAAAAAATACCATTATTTTAAATTTATATTTGTTACTACCATAAAATTTTCCATTAATGAGACTACGAATTTTGAGGTTTTATAAGAAAATTAAACCAAGAATTATGCCTTGCACGTCAAATACGTAGTAATACACTTTACATATTAATTAAATTTGATTAAATGAATGACAACAGTATGTACACAATTGTTATGTATATGAATACGAAGTATGTGATTCAAAGTGGTTGTGCGTCAACAGCCTCAACTAAACATCAAGCGGACCAACTTGCATGTATATTTAGTACATGAGCAACGCGGAGTTCCTTTAATTAACTCATTAGTTTGGCTGGTCAAATTAACATGCATGACACGAATCACGGTCAAATTTTAAACCGAACCGTTTAATTGCTCGAATCCAACTGACTCAAATGAGAACTAAATCGATTAAAACCGATTTTTTAAACCGAAAATCGACCCGAACCGCATTTAGTAAACTCGAAACCAAACTGATCCGAGTAACATTAAACCGTTTAAGAACCGAACTGAAAGAAAACCGAACCGAAAATGAGTCGAACCGTTTCTAACTCGAAACCGTTTATACTGGCATGAAAACCGTTTACACCGAACCGTTAACAAACTGCAACCCGTTTGCACCGAACCCTTTATATACCGAACTGATTATAAATCGAACCGTTTATGAACCGAATCGCTTATAAATCGAACCGTTTACAAACCGCTTACTATAAAGAAAAGATTAAAACCAAGTTAAAAGGTATTTTAAATGAAATCTAATTATGCACACATGTTACTAATCCATAACTTTATACTAATAAATATTTAACTATGAGAATATGAGATGGTTAGATGTTATGTGTATGTATAATCGATTAAAAGAATCAATATTACCTTCTTAATCATTAATGTTTTCTTTCATTATACAAATCAAACTACTTTGTAATATCTTCATACATAACTTTATGCAAATATATAATGATAAACGAGTCTTAATTATCAGTCTTTTTGACTAATTTAGTATCGAATACCAAATTGCAAATTTCGATGTCACAATAACTCATCAAATCATGATTATGACACTATTAATTAAATGATCAAATACGAAGCAGATAATAATCTGATAGTAAAACATTAATACATTAATACACTAAACTTTTATAATCTACTTCGTAATAAACTAGATAGTAAGATCAGTATGGCTAAACTTGAAACATAACATGATATGTATTTGTAAAATTTAATGAGAATTTGTATATAATATGATGCCTAAATATGAAGTGATGAAGTCTCGGCTTGATATAAATCTTGTTAACCAGCATAAAGTAAGAAAGTACTATCAAATTTCAAACCACGACCGTTTAATTGCCCGAATCAAAACAACTCGATGATATAAAACCGATTTTTTGAAATCAAAAACAGACCCGAACCGTAATTTAGTAAACCTGAAATAAAGCTGATCCGAACAATGTTAAATCGTAGAAGAACCGAACCCGTTAACGAACCGAAGCAGTTAATAAGCCGAACTAAAATAAAACTGAACCAAAAAAGAACCGAACCGTTTCTAACCCGAAACCGTTTGAACCGGGATAAAAATCGTTTACACTAAACCGTTAACAAACCGCAACCCGTCTGCACCGAACCGTTTACTACCCAGACCGTTTACAACCGGAACCGAATTTAAACCGCTCAAGAATATACGAAATTGAATCGAACCAATAATTATTTAAATCGAACATAAACCGGCCCGTAAGGCATTTGAACCGCTTTCAAACCGACCCGATTTCAAACCGAACCGAAACCAAACTGTCAAACCGTTTTGACAGTAATAAATGACACGTTATTATTCATGAGAAACGACTTGGTTTTCACAAAAAATGTCTAATCAACATGCCTAAACTACCCCAATAAGAAAACTACCAATAATATTCACTAAAAAAGATGTAATAATTATTTTTAAAGAACAAATCACATTTATTAACAAAAAAAACTAGCACACTTAATTTTGGAGCTAATTAATGGTAAGAAGCTTCATCTTATAATTTCCCAATCATCTTAATCATCCAATAAAAATTACTCCTAAAACTTTGTATCTTACAAATGAATAAACATACCAATTGATTGTTGGTGTAGTGGTGATTGGGGTTACACTTGGTAGGGAAAACCGCTTTCGATCCCTCGCAACAACAATTGGGAGGGGATTGAAACCTAACCACCCAGAACTGATCTTCGAATCCGGATTAACCCAAAGGGTGAACCGGGTAGAACACAAAAAAAAAAAAAAAAAAAAAAATTAATAAATAAACAAGGAAGTCACTGACAATTTTTTTTTTTTGGGGTGCAATTTCATAGACAAGATAACTTATCTTAAAATTAGACCAACGTTTAATTTGATTATTCACAAGCTCACCAAGGTTTAATATTAGTAATAACTTTTTCATCAAAAATAAAATAAAATAAAAATACATACAATACAATACGGAGTAGTAATAACTTTAAACCTTTTTAAAAGGCTGGAAAACTTGTAAGGGAATGGTGAGGAAGATATGTTACATAAAATGTCATTAATATTCTAGTTAGAGTTTTTAATTAAATAGTAAGAAAATAAGGTTACAAATATATACTTGTATAGTTTTTTATTTGTTCCTTCCCATAATCCCTCATTTACAACAACTATATATATAGACTAGAAAATTTCAATTATTCATCAAAATATAATGAAGGTTGGCACTAAATTCTCCTTCTTATGCTCATTGTTAGTGGGAGTTTTTATACGAAGTTTGATTATAGGGTGCCATGCCGGGAGGGCTCACAGACGTCATCACGTAAACCCGGAATTTCAAGTTAAGGCAGTTAATCTTGGAGGATGGCTTGTTACTGAATGATGGATTAAACCCTCTCTTTTTGATGCCATTCCTAACAAAGACTTGCTGGTTTGTATTTCTCTCTTGCTTGTCGTCTAAATTTCATCTCTGTCTGGGATTAGTTGTCACGTGTTACTACTAACTCTTGTAACATCGTATCGTGTCATGTTAATATATATGACTACTGACTTACTAAGTTTGTACATGGTCACATGTAGAGTAACTTTAAGTATTGACGTTGCATTTTCTACTAATGTGTCTATATGTACAATTCAAATGAGTAAACATTTTACGCCAAAATTTTAATATAACATAAAAGCATATTATTTCTATATTAAGGACACTGAATTTGTGTAGTACTATTTAATTTTTTTACAGGATGGAACAAAGATTCGGCTAAAATCATTGACTATTGGCAAGTACGTATGCGCTGAGAACGGCGGAGGGACCATCTTAGTCGCTAACAGAACTTCTGCATCAGGTTGGGAAACCTTCAAGGTGAGCTACACCATCTAAACATTAGCTTAATTTAACTGTTCAACAATTTTCATGTATTTAACAAAATTTTGGAGTGTAGCTATGGAGAATCAACGAAAACACGTTCAATTTCCGGGTGTCCAACAATCAGTTTGCAGGAGTGCAAGCCAGCAGAGGCAGCCCTGCAGTAGTTGCAGTAGTCAATACCCCAAAATCTTCTGAAATATTTCGGATTGTCAGGAAGTGTGATGACAAAAATCGTGTTCGAATACAAGCTCCTAATGGTCTATTTCTACAGGTTTAATTTAACTCTTACTGTCCTCCTCACTTCCCCTGCTAGAATCATATGTGCAAGTTTTTCTACGAGTAATTTCAGTATACATTTGGTGGCTAAAGCGTGATTATTAATTCTCAATTTTTATTTTTTTATTTTTTTTTCTGCAGGCAAAGACACAGGATCAGGTCACTGCAGATTATGCAGGGGATGGTGGCTGGGGGGATGATAACCCATCTGTTTTCGTGATGAAAATTGTTGATACCTTACAAGGTGAATTTCAGGTCACTAATGGTTATGGCCCCGAAAAAGCTCCACAGGTTATGAGGGTAAGCAGCACATACTTAATTTCAAATTTCTTGCTTAAAATTTGAAAGTCGATACTTTGTCACAGAGCATAAATTTGTTCATTGTATCAGGAACATTGGAGCACTTTTATAGTAGAAGATGATTTCAGGTTCATTTCTCAAAATGGACTCAATGCTGTTAGAATTCCTGTAGGATGGTGGATAGCCAGTGACCCGACACCTCCTAAGCCTTTCGTGGGAGGATCGTTGCAGTCTTTGGACAACGCCTTCACTTGGGCACAGTACGTTTTTTTTATTTATTTTTAAAATTTATACTCACTGTCCTTTTTATTCAATTGCTCCTGATCAAATAATTTGTAAATAAGGGACTAATATTGTCAAGTGCATATTGTTAACCTGTAGAAAATACGGAGTCCATGTTATAATAGACCTACACGCAGCACCCGGGGCACAAAATGGATATGAACACAGTGGAACTAGAGATGGAACTATTAATTGGGGAAAATCCAATAATACTATATATATACAACAGACTGTTGCTGTTATCGACTTTTTAACATCCAGGTACTAAGCACTACCTTGTATATGTAGCTGACATTTCATACTGAAAGTTCTAAGCATACTGTCATTTGAATGCAGATACGCGAAATTCCCTAACCTTCTAGCAGTAGAGCTGCTCAATGAGCCTGTAGCGCCTGTAGTGACTGTGGATACCTTAAAAAAGTACTATAAGGCAGGATATGATGCAGTGCGCAAGCACTCTTCAAGCGCGTATGTTATGATGAACAATCGCTTAAAGCAGCCTATGGATCCAAGGGAGTTGTTTCCCCTTGCTAGTGCATTGCAGTTAACTGTAATTGATGTCCATTACTACAGCATTTTTGATGTTAACAGCATGAGTGTCAAACACAACCTCGACTTCATCTACAACAACAGGTCCTCGGAATTGGGTTATGTCACCACCTCCAACGCCCCCCTAATATTTGTTGGTAAGTAATCAAGGGAACGCCAGCTTATACTAGGTTGCATACGCTACCTGTACCATGAATGCTGAAATTATAACCTCTTAACATATACATCTAATCTAATTAAGAATATAATAGGACAATTAGGAATAATAAAGAAGATAATCAATATTAAGACAATGAAAGTAGCCCCTTGATTGGATTAGTACATGGCCATTAACCTTAACTTAGAAACTTAACCAACCTCTATCAAGGAGCTAAAATATGATAGCCTTGCGAAATTGTTGGGCAAAAGTGTATCACACGTGGCAAATCAACATTGATGTGAAATGGCGATTTGATATTGGTTAGGACCACATAGAACTTACTCGTACTCTATCTCTTTTCACATTAAACTTTTTTTTTTCTAAGTATAAATGTAATTTTTTTTTTCTCCAATCCCTAAACTCATATTACCTCTGTTTCTTATTATTTGTAACAAATGAATTTTTTATGTCTTACAAATAATACCATTTTATTACAAAAACCAACCTTATCTAGGGCACTAGTATTTAAATAAAACAAATACCTTTTTAAGGGATTTTTTTTTGGTGTTTTAATTTGATGTATTAATTATTAGTGACAAATTTAATTTGAAGCTTATAAATTACCTGATTAATTTCTTTGGCACTTAATGTCCAGGAATATTTTATTTTAATGTTGATGCAGGAGAATGGGTTGCTGAGTGGAAAGTGAATGGAACAAAGGAGGAATATCAAAAATTTGCAAATGCACAGCTGCAAGTGTTTGGTCGCGCAACCTTTGGATGGGCTTATTGGACTTACAAGAATGTGAACAATCATTGGAGCCTTCAGTGGATGATTCAAAATGGTTACATCAAACTTAATGGTAGATAATATCGATTTGTCCACCCGTCCTCTAAGGTTTAAGGCTTATATGTTATATCAATATGTTGTATTATTTGTATAATTGTATAAATATAAACTTAAGAAGTTTTTGTATTCAGTCAAACTATAATAAAAATTATATACAAATGAAGTAAAATAAAAAGCATATGACTTATGTGATTACATTCTTTAAAGATGATACTCCCTCTGTTTAGTTAAAGTGTTTCATGTTTGACTTTTATCTGTACAAGATATTATTCACATAATTCACTTTGATTTAGTTCTTTTAACATAATATAGAGCATAATCAAGGAAAAACTTTTGTCAGAATTGTCTTATAAATTTATAATTTTTGAATATACAGATGATCCTTTTAAAAAAAAAGGAAATACGGAGTATAATATATTCTTCTTAATACATGCCTACAAAGATACAACTAGCGGAAGGCGGCCATTTACAAAGCATAGGCATTGGGTAATGCTCCATTGATGAATATCATTTGTCACATGCATTTTAGAAGTTCGAGATCTTCATGCTTAAACTTTAGAGGGCTGCCGGGTATTATTTGATATATTTGGTCTATATTTGATATATTTACGAGATTGTGATACAATGTAAAATGGTGTAAAGAAAAAAAATACAATGTAAAACTAAGTTATTAAACTAATAATCAAAGATGTCTTACACATACACGGCAAAACTTACGTGGGGTTTGGATTTATATATATTTAAAGTTGATTAATGAATGATAAGAAACATAAATTGCAGGACAAATACAAGTATAATATGAGGTATGTGAATAATGTGATATTGGTAAAGTGGTTATGCTCTTATTAATTTATCTCCATCTTTTTTAATAATGCACGTGGGTTTTCGGTACGTGGTATTATGATAGCCAATTAACGATCAATAATAGAGAAAGAAATTAAAGTAGACCCTGAATGAGATTACTACATGCATGGTGGCGATGGTGCATCCAAAGCCACCACACCATTGGTGATATAGGCCAATAATTCGTTTTCAAGTTGAATATTTAACCAACTCCTAACGCGTAAGTCAGAAAATGATAGCCCTACCTAAAACAAACATCTTGGGGAAAGATCAATGTATCACACATGGCAAATCATTATTATGGAAAATGACAGTCGGAATATTATTAGTTAGGATTACATATAAACAAAATTTTCTTATAAGTATTGAAGATTTTTTTTCCTCGGGTAAGATATAAATAATTTTTATCATAGGTTTACTATGCCTATAATAAATTGTCACAACGAAGATTTTTGTAGCGTCTATAATTTATTAGGGTTTATAAAAAAAAAAATTTAAAAAAAAAAAAAAACCTTTTTTGAGGTTTTTTCAATTCCACGTACTTATTATTTTTCACATTTAATTATTTAGCACTAATCATCTACGATTTTTTTTTTTCTTCGAAATTTATGCTAGAGAATATGTTGCTAAGAGACAGGTGAATGGGGCAACAAAGGAAGATTTTTCAAAATTTTGCAAATGCATAACTTCAATTAAATGTATGGTTGTGCCTCGTGCATACTTTGGATGTGCTTATTGGACTTACAACTTACAAGAGTGTGCTTTGTGTGTAGACGGATGACTCAAAAGTCAAAATGGTTACATATATAACACTTACTAGTCGATAATATATAGCTGTTGATTGAACTTATCTCTTAATTTTAAAGCTTTAATGTTGTTGTACATACATGTAAACTAAGATACCCCATCTTTTTGGGGTTACGGCTTTAGAAATGTAGTGTGAATAGAACCAATCTATAAAATGTAAACCTAAGAATCTTTTTTCTTCATGCTAAAACTGAAATAAGTGTTTAATACTTTCGTTTTTAGTAAATATTCGTATATGTTTTTTTTTTTTTTTTTTTTTTTTTTTTTTTGGGCTACACAATTGAATTGAGTGAGTTTGTTTTTTAATCTTTCACTTAATATATTTATTTTTACCTATCATTTGTGGTATATGACTATTTAACGATTGTAGTTTTGATAAGAGAGTTATAATATTATCTATTTAACGATTATAGTTTTGATGAAGAAACCTTTGTTTAATTCTTTTTTATGTATTTGTTAATTTAGATTTCATTTGTAGATATCATATGACTTTTTAATGAATTGATTTTTTTTTTTTAAAAAAAAAGTGGAGTAATTAAGTTTTTTCAATAGAAAAAAAAAATAGTAATGTGTTGGACAGTTTGAGTAGGAACCATATTATTTTTTTTTATTTTTTGAAGAAGAATAGGGAGAAGGGACCGTAATATTTAGTTAACTTGTAGTGGCAGCAGAAAAGTCCCCAAAAAGTACTCTGTATAATACTTGTAAAAAATAATAAATAAAATAAAATAAAATAAAAAAGAAGAAGAAAATAGAAAAAAGATCGAAAAAACAGTCGATATTATAGCAAGTATAAACACTTGGGAAAAAAAAAGTGTACATAAAATTATACAGTAATTTAACCTAGCTCTCCTTTCTGATACATGAATAATGGAAAATTAATACAGTAATTACCAAACAAGTTTGGTTATTCACTGCACTAACAAAAAACAAAGGGAGCATAGTTATTATAATTGTCTTTATCCAATGTATAAGTATTATATTGTGTACATAACATCACTCAGAAAATGAAACAACAGAAATGAAAATAAAAAAACATAAGATGATGATTATTCAATCATCAAATGTAACAAAAAATCTATTATGCTTCCTCCTCTGACACTTAGATTTTATTTTAATGATGAGTTGAAATCCTGTAGAAGAACTCAAAGGTAAAGTTCTAACAGAAGATTCAACTCCTCTTTTACCCTTTAACAACTGATCAATTAGCACAACACCTTGTTCTCTACGTGTTATATTGTTAGCAACAATTATAGCTCCTCTTGGATTCAGATGTAACTTCTCGGATAATGATCTCAGGCGACTCGAGTCGAAACCGGTGCAGTCAATGACAGCAAAATCAACGTTTCGAATGTCATTTATTAGTTCACATGGATCACCAACTCGTAATTCAGTCACACCACTAGCATCACAGTTGTCGTGGTCGCGATCTATGTAATGATCTAATCCGAAGAGGGATTGAAGAGTGGGTCGAATGCATATGAGTTTGCCCTCGGTTTGTTTAGCAGCAACAGCTAGTGCAAGAGTTAAGGGTGTCACGCCTTTTTGGTGGGACGTTATGTCTAGTATTATTCTTGCTTTGTTTCCTGCTGCTAAAGCTGATAGTAATTCTGTTCCTTGTGGTTCGATTACTTTGCTTCCATCTATTCCATACCTTTCTTCTTCGTTATGTATGTTATTCTCCTTACACTGAAAAATATACACAAAAAGAACCCATGAGTAAAAATGAACAAACTTCATTAATAATATGACAACCAAGTGTCAGACTCGGCTATTTTACAGAAATATACCATGATTTATATATATTATAAGGCGGATTAGCTTGAATTATGAATTCAACCTTAAGATCATCATGGAACTAATCATGTCGAACACTGGTATGTAAACATATTCAAGTGTCAGACTCAATTATTTATTGAAAAAAATATATCATGATATATATATTTAGTGCAAAGTAGAGTGTATAGTCAATCTGTATACTATACTAACAAACATAATGTCAAAAATCCAACACGAATATTAGAGATAGAGATAAAAGTGAATACTTACCAAATGAAGAGTTTGCAAGAAAGCTTTCATTGCATGTTGAGGAGACCACTCCATTGTTGCCATATTAGTTAGTTAGTTACTATCAACTTGTTCTTGTTTATATGTGCTACTATAAAACGTATGAGAGCTTCTTAAGTTTGATGATGTATGTTTTATGACTACTACTATTCAACACCCCACCTCTCTTTCTTTTTATAGTAAACTCTTACCATTTATTTCATATTTTTTTTGAAAAAATCAAAGAAAAAGGTTAATCTTACCCAATGACTAAGCAACACATGGCAAACGAAATGGGCATTTTTGCATGGCTTGCAAATTCGTGGCAAGAATAGAGCAATTTCATGTGAGAGTTTACAGTCTGTATAGAGTAATTCCACCCCTCCTTTTCTCATTTATTACAATTTTTTTAAACAATAAAAAAAGAAAAACATATTAAAATCTATATACGTATCAACTACGTATCGGGCACATGGCGTTGTATAACAATTTGTTGTAGGACACGTGGAGGGTTTTGATTCTTTGTTAAGTGACTATGTCATTGCTAATTATTGGTCCTTGTATGTAACTTGATTTGCTAATTATAGTATTTTAGCCACCAAGATTTAACATTGACACGGAAAACTAGGGTGAATGTTTCATGTTTGCTTGCTGTCCTTGTTACGTATTTGAATAATAATCGTATAATTCTTTATTATATACTTAATGCTAAGTACTCCAATCATGTATATAGTCACTACGTTACTCAGATACTATACGTATTGAATGTGAGTATAAATTTAAGAGATAGATTCGATTAGATTTTAGGACACGAAGACATTATTTCAAAATTGAACACAATATTCATAATACATATATATTTTTAATTTGTAATTTTTATGTGGTAAGTAGGTATATACATACTTTGCAGGACACGTGGAGGGAGTTGATTCTTTATATGCAAAGTGACTATGTCATTGCTAATTATTGGTTCAAATAGCTAGCTAATTACAAGTATAAATTTGTAGCCACCAACATTTTACATCGACACGGAAAACTAAGGTGACATTGCTTAATATCTTTGTGTGTGCGTTTTATTTATTTATTTTTGTTTTTGTTTATTGATTGGTGATTTCTTTGTTATTTGATGAAATTCTATATCATTTGACTAACAGAAATGTTCTAAAAAAGGAAAGAAAAAAAAAAATCATTGTATTAAATAGTTTGGAGTCCTAGCTTGGAGATGAGCCACTCGACATTCATGTTACAACTTGATTTAAATATTCACTAGGTATATATATGAATACGTAAACACGAATAATTATAAATAGACTTAAGTCCTAATCTTGTTACATAATAAAATCCAAGCCCATCATTTTCTCTATACTACTCTATCCCTCTCTACCTTTGCTTTATTTAAATACATGGTTTAACATTATTGAAGGATGTTTAGATATGATTTGAAATATCATGTAAAATTATCATATCTTAGCTTTGTTGGAGTGTCAATTGGTTCGAGTAAAAAATACAAACAAAATAAGTGAAGTAACATAATAATGTATAGATGCATTGTTAGACGTGCATTATATGAAATAATGAAGTACAAAAAACGAATTATTCAAGAAAGATAAGATAAGATATGATCATGATCATGATTCATGAAGTAGTTGTTAGATCATGTCTGCATGAAAGTTAGGATGTAGAACCGTCTTTGAAACACTACACTTGCAGCATCAGAGATGATACTACATTACTACATAGATTATATTCCTATCACTACATCAGTAACATCACCCACGTTGTGGGGGATCTCCTTTGCTCATAATATAGGGTGATTTGTACTACAAATTTGAAACATACGTTTAATAACTAGTTGTATATTGTTCTTCTGTTCCTACCATACTACAGGATTTCTTTAGAGTCCTTTCAAAGTTTGAATTGTTTTGCATCTAAAGTTATAGTTAATACTTCCTCTCTACTTTTTTTTTTTTTGTCTTATTTGACTGTGTACAGACTTCAAGACGCGCATTTAAACGTTTATATCATTATTTTTGTACACATAAAAATTATAAACACGTGATATTAATAAAATATACAATGAGACGAATCTAACAAGACCACCCATAACTTAATTATTTTTTTTTATAGAATAACGGTAACTTATGATTAAAGTTTTCAAAGTTTAACTCAAAAAATGACAATGGGGCCAAAATAAAGGGACGGAGGAAGTAGTTACCTTTCAAGGGTACGCATTGCACGGCTTCCAAGGTCAAGTGTACAACCGAATTATAATACTCCATAGAAATATATTTGCGTTTACAACCGTTGTATAGAAAATATTTCGACCTTTTTATTTTTTATTATTTTTTAATGGTTATTAGAATAGCCCTAATCAAACCTGATTCTGACATTTTTTTTTTTAGTCTAATATATGTAAGCCAAGCACTTATATTGTAAGGATTCAGCGTTATAACCTTAGGGTTTCGGTTTTTCCAAATCCCAACCAATAAAACCAAGCAAGAGCCTTTTTGGTATTCCAACCTTTACTAAACGTCAAAATGAACAGGTACTACTTGAAGTTTTTCAGAGTATTTTTCTACGGTTTCAAATTGATGTGCTTCACATCAAAGGCTTGGAGTTTTGTACAGTAGTTGCAACACTTGCAATTAATTAGGGCAACTTGAATTTATGGATTTATTCTAAAATGCGGTGATATAAATGATTGTGGAAGTTGACAGTATTGACCAAACTCACATGTTGGCACATTTTTAAAGAGGGATTGAGTCATAAATTTTGACATAAAATATCCCAAAACAGAGGAGGAAGAAAATTGTAGAACTTTCCAAAGGAAGAGATAGAAGGTTCACATGAATTTCATGAATATGAACTGGAGTAGAACATTAAAAATTTCAAAGTCAAAAATGATTTTCAGACGTTCATTTTTTTTAGTACGGGAAGAAAAATACTACAGAGTATCATACAACATATAATAATAATAAATGGGTAATGCTATATGTAGTCTTAAGGGTTATATATAAGCATTTAATATACTCTTGAAAATTGTACAAAATTAAGAATTCATAACAAAAACACGCGTCAATCAGTGTAATTAGTGTTTATATTTTTATGATTTCCTAAATTTTTACGATTTTCTAGTATATATTTAATGTTTATATATAGTCCTAAGGGCTATATATAGCATAACTCTCATCTATAACCTTTAGTTGTAGCCATACGTAAGCAATAATTTTCAATGTTTTTCGCACCTTTTCAGGTAGAAACCTTTGCAATCGGCGCTGATATTTGATCATAAAATTGATGACAAAGCCTAAACCCATATGAATCCAAATCTCTTTCTCAATTATTATTAGAAACCTGAAAATAAAATTCTCATCATAATCGAATGAGAATCAAAATCCCATAAATAAATTTGAGCAAAATTCAGAAAATTGGAATACACTTACAAATGGAGAGAACAAAGCTAAATAAAATAAAAGGCAAATTTTACCAAAAAAATGGTTATAAATCATTTTGAAGCTTAAGCGTAAACCACAAAACTAAATTAAATTAAACAAAAAAAAGGTCGAAAATAGTTTAACTGCAAGTACCAAAAAATTAGAATATTTCCAACCTATACGGCTAAGAAAAAACCCAAGAGGAGAGATGAGAGAAATGAGAAAAAGAGTTTTTCCAACGCCCCTGTTATTATTTAGACATTCATTCTCTTAACTTTGTAGAGAATTAGTCCAACTGAAAATTACAAATGCTTTTTTTTTTTTTTTTTTAATTTTAAAATGACCTTTTCCATTATTTCTCACGCGAATTTAACAAATCAATTACTCCATAAAAGAATAAACTCAAACTAAGAATTTTGTTATTAATTCTTTCGTTCAATTTACATGATAAAATTGTAACCTATAAATTTTACAGCCTACGTACATTCGTGCTTCTCTTTCACTCAATGTCCTTCATTGCATCCTGCAAACACAAGGAAAATAAAGTTTCAATATATTTGGAAGCTCTATGATGTGCAAAGGCACTGTAATCATCATTTTGAAGCTTAATTGACTGTAGAATTCAGACGCGGATAGCATCAGCATTATAAATTACAAATTCTGTTAAACTCTATGACAGGCTTACAGCAGACTTTCTAACGAATCAAATAGTAAAAAGTTTGCTAGACTGCCATTCGACTGATAATGTATAGATGTATGAGATATTAGAACTAATGACAAATTTACCATTAACTATCACTGTCAAAGGCATTCCTCTAATTATTTGGACTTTGAAATAATAATCTTTTACCAGATACCAAGAGATGGATTACGCTATTATACCCTACGCATATGTTGGGTAGACAATATAGTGAGACAACAATGAAATACTCCAGTGGCATTACCTTGGCAAGTTTTGTGACATAAGAAGCAGCCAGAGCTGTTGCTAATAATCCCAGCCCCAACGTAAGAAGTTGACCACTACCTCCAGTCACACCAACCCCGGTTTCTTCTTGCTGTACAGAAAGAATGTTACATTTAGACACTTACACTTGCCCGGGTAAACCAGAAGCAGACAGCAATATAAGTTAAAATTTTAGTGCAAATTGGACACGAAATCTTCACAGTTAAACACGAACCTAGCAGGGCAAGCAGTTCATCCATATTTGGTTTAGCAAGGAAACATGATCATTGTTATGACAGCAAATCAGACTCCACAAAACGTTCAGAAAAGAAACAGAACAAATAAAATTGTCCAGGCAACTTCTGCTCCATCTCAACTTCGGCGAGGGGCTTATTGATTCCAGAATATTTTAGAACCAATTCATATTTAGCAAGATCTCTGTCAGCTCTTTAAGCAATTGCTCGAGAGAGGAAGGATCAGTGATGGGAGAAGAAAAATGAATGAAAATGGAATTTGAAGACTTCATGACTACAACCTAAGGCAATTCCAATACTAGGCACCAACACAAGCACTATCCATTTAGTTTAGGAAATCCCTTAAAATCCTAGTATCCCTATATTAAAGGTACTAATAACATCATGGAAGGCGAGTTTTGAACAGATACATTAAAAGGGGAAAATAATGAACCAAACATATATCATCACAATCACTGCAATATCAATATAATTAACACCTCTTCTCCTTCTAAACTGAATGTCCTAAGAGAGTAAGAGCCCTTCCCAATCACACTTTGTTTGGATAAGAGAAAAGAGATTAAGAGATGGTGGTGGTGGTGGTGGGTGGGTGGGGGGGGGGGGGGACACCTTTCCCTTCTCTTCCTTTCCCCTCTATCTAACTACTTAAGCAAAGTGCAGGTTGACTCCGGAGAAACAGAACGGAAACAGAAAAGGGTAATGAGGGGTAAGAAATTAAGAAAAGGAAACTTGTTAAATAGGCATAGGGAATGAAAGCAAATTCTCCTGATCAGAAAACGATAATCTTAAATTTATTATCTTCCTATCGTCATCCTCACAGGCACCCTTTTCTTTATATCATAACCACCAACACGGCAACAGATCATGGTCTCAAACTCCCGAACCATATATCATAACCACCAACACAGCAACAGATCATGGTCTCTCTCTCTTCACTTTTGTCCTTCCCTCCCCCTTTATCATACGACCACATCACTAACATTTCGATTCTTATTTATATATTAATACATGGATCCCTTAAATATCGATTTTCATCACCGCTGACCTATTCAGGACTCTCAGGAAACCTTAATTGGGGAGCAAGTATCTTTCAAATTGATGTAGCCAAAGTGGAAATCAAAAATCTGTGTGGAAAGGTACAGAGTTACAGTGTTGGTAGTTGGGCTATGACAGATTGTTGGGTACAGCTAGAGTTGATGCCCATGAGATTTAGGATAATCGAGGGGATCAAGTAGGTGGTTTGGGATTATTGGATAGCTTCAGGTTGATAAAGGAGCTGGATGTGGTGCATTTATGTGGAGGGAAAGCGGACAGGGTTGTTGGTTTGGGTGGCAGTAGAAGATTGGATTGATGGTCGTTAGGAATTAGGATGGGACACGGGAGGGAAAATGGTGTTTGTGAGTGAGAGCATGGCACTATGGCAGTCCTGTCAAGGGAGAGGTGAGGGTGGGTATGAGGTAGGTGGTGCAATATGAAAGATCCCATAGTGGGGAGTTAAAATACCAAGAGGTGGGAACAAAAAGAGGGAATTCGGATGTATACACTAAGGAGAAATGAAAATGGAAAACAGATAGAGAGAATCATTTACTCATAAAAGAAGATAAGAGTATCAATTTCCCCTGATGGCTTGCTTGATAGCAAACCAGCCCCTAATCAAAGTAAGGGTGCTCTAAAAACTTCATTTCCATGCACTCAGCAACTAAAGCCAAGATACGCAGCTTAATTTTCATACGCAGGAAGGTAGTTTTTGCCGAAAGATAAGCACTTCACTGTTCACACCAACAATCAGTCACTACTATTTTAACCAAAAGTCACCAATAAGTTTTTCATTCCCATTTCCTATATCTCAACTTGGGTGGAACAAAAATACTCCAGGTAGATACTTGGTAACAAAATGAAAGGAATATGTGTAAAAAATTTCTTTTTTTGGAGGCACTCATAATAGATATCAAGTTGTAGAATGCTACTCACAATAATCGCCCGACCAAAAGCTCCGGCATTCACATACGCCCATGTCCCTGGAAGCATCCCCAACCAACTGCATGATATTGAGTGCTGAGTTAGTATGTTAGCAAATGAGTCTAGATAAACAATTTCAGGCAACTTTAACATCAGCTTTTAGCACCACATAGATGCTTGAAAAAAAAAATGAGCTTGATATGCAGAATATGCCAAGTAAAACTGAATTCACATCAATGTAAATAACAAGACAGCAGTTACATGCCCATTAAAGAATAAAGATGATCCAAAAATTTTACTGAAAATGCAATTTGCAGATCATTGAAACTACTGTATACTTGCAATAATTCAATAATAACCACCAAACCACAACACAATAGATAAACTGTACAGTGTACACTAACGGATATGGAACGGACCCAAAAGCTCAATACACAAAGACAGAGGATATGTCCTTCCGCCACACTATATGTCTCCACACATTGTTTTCAAGGTGCACATGTTGAACATTGGTGCTGCACTTACTGCTTAGACCAGGAAGTTTACTCATAAATTACATTTGGACCATCTTCAAACTTTTGAATTTTATTGTAAAAAGCTTTCAAGAAAACATCATCAATAACACACCCTAGGATCTTGTTGCTTCAACAAAGCTTATACCAAGAGCTTAGCCACAAGTTTAAGGACAAGCCTCTAAACCACCAGTTGCAGCCCAACCAGGGAATTAGATAAATGCAGCACTCAGAAAACACCATTTACCACCACAACTAAATCAAGAAGCATAATAGTGGGATAGCAAGAACCAGACCTTGCCAAAACATAGGGGATAAATTTGACGGACGTTAGTCCATACAAGTAATTCCCTAGGGAAAAGGGAAGCAAGGGACTCAAGCGAAGGAGGGCAACAATTCTGAAACCATTCTCTCCAATGGCTTTATCAATTGCTTTGAACTTTTTGTTTCCTTCAACAAGTTTCAATATTCGCTCACGGGCAAAGTATCTTGCAATTAGAAAAGCAATGCTTGCTGCTAACTGAAACAGAAACAAGAGAAACCTAAGGATAATTAGCAAGAACTTTTGCATTTGGTTACACAAAATAGAAAGGCAAGACAAAAAACTCACTGTTCCACTTATGGAAACAAGTACAGTTCCAGTGACAGAACCAAATAAAAGACCGGCAGACATTGTCAATGGAATAGCTGGAATTGCAAGAACCTAAAAGAAATGGCATAAGATTAGTTTAAGGAAACAGAATCCAATCTAACAAGCTCATAGGATGACCAAATTATTCATGGATTAGTTCCTAGATTTCCACTAGCTGGATTCTTCCAGTAAAAACTTTTGGTGATAAGAAAGACATAGGAGGATAACAAACCTCAAGTCCGGCATATACAAGCACAAATAATGCATATCCTGCAGGCCCATAACCTGTACACTGAAAGTACTCCATGAGAATCAGGATCAAAAGATTTACAAAGTATAAGCAATATTCCTCCAAAATTACATAATATAATGATCAACTCCTTAACCCCCAAATCAACCATCAAATACACTCCCTCCTCACCTCACATTACTAGTTCAACTACACTACCAACATGACTATAAACTCCAAATGAAATAAGTAACATTTCAAAATGTCCATAAAAAGTATTCACCTTCCCTAAAATAGAAATGATTGGTCATTGGATTTTCTATTATCCTAACATTTCCTATCTTAAATCAAGTGAACCAAAGCAAAAACTTAACACTCAAAACGGACTCCAACACTCACATATGCTTTCCTTTCGAATTTAGTAGTCACATTATTAGTTCAAATTACACTACCGACATGTCTATTAATTCCATATAGAATGTCCGGGAAAAGTTGCCATAGTCCCTCTAACATTTCCTTAATTATACCATAGTGAAATGTAGCACAAACTTAACAATCAAAATGGATCCGCCCGAAACCAACACTCACATATACTCCTTCCTTACATTACTCGTTCGTAATAATTGAGGATGTCCGGAAAAAGTTGTCAAAATCCTAAAGTAGCAATGTGTTTGATAATTGAATTTCCTAACATATCCTAACTTAAATTAAAATGAACTAAAACAGAACAAAAATGAAACAATCAAAACAGAAATTACCTTCAATCAACGTAGAAAACTGAGTCAAGAAACTATTAATCTGATCCCTATAAAAATACCCAGCAGCTCCAAACCCACCAACAACACCAACTAACAACAACCCAGCAACAATAGTTCCTTTAATGGCGGTATCACCTTCCAATTCACCCTCATCCACCTCATCTTTCGAACCCGAATCATCGGATTTCGAATCATCATCTTCAGGTTTTGGGTTCCAGTTCAACAAACGTCGAAGACTCTGAGGAGGAGGAGATTTCTGAAGAGTAGTTTGCGAAGTTTGTTGCTGCAGTTTCTTCGAAGAACATGAAGGACTCAGAAATTGAAACCGCCGCGGCAACCTGCCGCAGGTTCTGCTACTTCTGGTGGTTGTAGGTGGTGGAGAGAGAGAAGAAGACGGCGAATTGGAGGAGGAGAGAGATGAAATGTATGGTGATGGCGGTCTTAGGATTAAGAGACTCCGCATTTTTTGGGGTTTTTGACACCGTTTTCTTCAGTTTTCTTGCTGAATTTTTGTTGAATCTTTCTGGGAAATTCAAGAGAATGATGAAGAAGGTGCTGGAAGAAGATTGAGTGCCATGGAAATATGAGTGGAGGTCTGTTTGACAAAAATGTAGTTCGAAGTTTTAGGAGGAGCAGTGTTGGTGTGATCTTCTGGAGGGTGCTCTGGGGAAAAGGAATATCCCTGCTTATACTGACCACAATTTTTTTTCATCTAGTAATCTTGTATGCCTCTATGGGGATTAGGAGAGGTGGCCAACGGGTCGTTTATGTTGTATTCGGGTCTATTTATTTGGTTGTAATAGGGAAATAAGATGGATTGGTTTTCTTTCAAATGTGTAGTTGGGTAACTTGTAATAAAAAATAGTTCTATGGATTATATTGATTTTTAAAGTTGGACTATCTTTGAATTATCTAATTTTGTATGTTATTTCAATTGAGTTGTTTTTGTCACACAAATTCACAAGTCATCTATTTTAGATACGGATATGAGTTTAAAATCACAAGGGTGGAATACTATAATCTAAATACGTAGTAGTTGGTATTCTTGGTAAATTAACCTGTGAGAGTTGAATTGAATTTTGTATATATCATTGACATTTTATAATCTACTCCATAAGTCTATATTAAGGACTTTGTTTCCTTTTACAATTTATTCACCATATATACGAGTAATTGGCCTATCCACAATACAACCCCAATTATTCAAAATTCGACCCTAACTTGAGAAATGCTCTTTATGACAACGATCATCAACTTTGTTGGTCATTAGCCCCTATTCGACCCTAACTCAAGAAACTCACATACAAAAGCTTTCAGACGGGCACAACTTTCAAGCCACAGGTCATAGCCTCATAGCTTTTCGCTGTTGCTACTGCGTCAATACTCCCAAGCAAACTAGCCACCCGCAAGGCTGCAGCCATGTCAGTATTTGTGGTGATGACCGTTTCTTAAAAGTGTAAATTCAGGGGAAGACTTTCTGCACACCGAAAAAGGAACTTCTTAAAGGCATTTCATGTAGTTAACCAAATAGTTTGCTGTACTTCCAAAAATATTACGCAGCTAGTACAACTATAATTTTCTACAAGTTTTACAGAAAGAGGAAAAAAACAAAATAACTTGAATAGTCAAACAGCCTAAACATTAACCCGACTCCATAATCCAAATATCTAACTTTTCAGCTATAATAAGACCTGAATCAAGCACAAACTCGAAAATGGAGTAATAAATGCCAGAATGGAAGTCCAAACATGTGCCTGCAATGGTATTGTGTACTCATATTTGTTTTACATGGGACCAACATCCTAATACTGAAACCAAACCAGCATACACAGGCAACACAGCAAGGCCTAATCCATTTTTAGGCAGTTTCCAGTTCTTGTAGGTTACCATTTCCTGAATGTTTCCCCTTAAACTTTAACAAGGTTAAGCCTGGTTTCTGTATAGAAGCTCCCAGTTGCTGAAGCTGATTGCCAACTGTGGCTTGCAACTGCTGAGGACTGAAGCGGTCACGTCTTTCCAGAAATTCAATTGCAGAATTTGCCATGACGCTTATCTATGAAAGTATGAAGACACAGTTAAGCTCATTCTTGATCAAGAAGCCCATATAATCTTACGTTGTTAATACAATACAAAAACAACGGCTAATAATTCATCAGATACAAAGATACATGGATGCAATTATGAGTTATGCATGTTATAGTCTTCTCTCCTCCCCACCCCTCCCCTTTTTCCCATCCTTAATATTATTAATGACTGATAAAGTCCAACACTACCACTTGAAATGTTAACTAGCAAATACTCCATAACTATAAAGATAAATTTGTGGAAACAGACGCAAAGTGTGCTGAGCAGCTTGTAGGCAGTTACTTACAGACTTTGCAGTTGCCTCATGCCCTCAAGAATATGCAGGCTAAGGTTTGTAGGTTACAAAATAAATATTTTACTTCACAGCAGTAAGTTCACCATCGAGCAAAAGTTCTTATGCTGATAAGGTAGCCAGGAATGGTCATCAATTAAGTTCACGCTTTTTTAAAAAAGAATGCAGAATTCATGTCTTACCTAAACCAAAAACTAGTCAGATATGGGGTTGTTTGGTTCAAGGGAAGGAAAATGAATCAAGAGTCAAGACTGAAAAGGAAAGGAAAGAAATGAAAGCCCTTTCAATTTACCCACAACTTTTTTGGAAAGAGGAAAGAGTATTGAAATCATTTCATTGTGGTAGATCGATTCAATTAAATTCCCTCCCGCTTTACCCTTTCTCTATGCACCCCAAAACCTAATTTTATCTCCCCACATTTCTAACTCTACCACATTGACTTTAGCCATCAGATTGGACCACCTAAGAATGATCTGTCAAAAAAAGGCCAAAATCTAGGCCAGGGTTTACCAAAAATGACATACAGGGAGCTGTATAGCACCAGTGGGTTGATTTTTCAGAGAACTTTTTCTGAATAATAAAAATTAAAAATTAAAATTAAAATAAAAAGTGCACCTTATAGCAACATGGTGTTTTCTTGGATAAGAAAGACCTGGAAATGGAAGTTCAAAACTAGGGTGGTCATAGTCAGTTGTAGAGTTAATATAGCTGGTGGATAGCAAGTTTGGAACAAGGATTCTTGGTTAATTGTCATAACACTTGGAGATGGTTTAGTCATCGCGTGAGTAGCGGATGAAGTTGATATAATGAGGCAAGGAAAAGGAGTAGGCCTCCTGTTGGGTTGAGTGGGGGCAAGCAAGATGACTGGTGGATATAGGGTGGTCTGGGCTCTGGCAATGTCTGGTAGAATGGTACTCGGCTGTTTGTACTGCTAGAAAAATAAAGTAAATGTTGGAGGCTGGGGAAGAGGGACTGCTGGGGAAGGGGACCTGTGCTCTGGTGATTTTGAGAAACTCCATTTCCCTTACTTTCCCTCTCTTGAATAATACTAAAGTGTTATTGATCTACTACCAAGACCTTGTCTTACCACACTCACACTCATCCTAATTGCATTGAAGTTTCAATTTCAACATACATGATAGTTTGACAGAAGAGATTAACACTGGGAAAGTAATTACTGATTGATTGACCCAGAAATTAAACACAAGGTTAAATCCAGATATTTACCAATTCGCATGTTGATAGTATAATATATCCATCTCATTGTAATATATAACAAATTTACAGCTCGTAGAAACCCTAGCATTTTCTATGCAGTTGCAACATTATAGCTAACCTTGAATCCTGAATTCCTGATACATTACTAAGTCCCTTGGTTGATCAAACTCGGTTACGAGTGTCAGATATGGATATACATCCAAGTGTCAGATACATGGTCATATATTGGAGCTTAAAATTAGTGACACACAGACATTGTCCTGAAATTGGACACAGGTGCAGGGCACGACATTCATGAACACATTCCCAATTCTAAAATGAGGTTTACGTGTATTTGCATGTAAGAATATATAGTCGATTTGTTTCCAAATTCTTGTTAAAATTAAATGTCAAGCCAATTTAAGTTATTCGCAAGCAAGTGTGGAGAAAGGTTCCCTCTCTTATAATATTTGTATCTCTATGATTTGAATTTGAGATTGAATAAAGTATCAGAGTCTATCCTAAAAGGCTAAAACCAGTTAACTTGCCGGCTTGCTGCACAATCCTTCTTCTCTATTAGAGAATCTGCAGTCAACAAGAATGCCTTACTAGGTCAAATTCTGTTAGCATAGCTCAAAAAAGTTGTCAGCATATGATCTGGCGACTTGTTCATCAGTCAAACCCGAAGAACTGTCTCCTCTTTGAAACAGAAATGTCTGAGACTACATATCAACTATAATTAATGAAAAGGCCAACAATAAAGGTTGCAAATGAAGCTTCAAATTAACTAAGGATAAAAGAGGCTCTTTTAGGCTCAATTTGATAAGCAGGAAACCCATTTCCTAAGACAAGGGGAAAACTTCATCAAAAAGAAAATAGTGCCAAGCAGGGAGATGATTGAAATAATTAGGTAGAAGTAAGGAACCGATAAATCCATAGATAACTCGTGACTACTGACTAGGATCGGCTAAAGCTTTTGGTCAAAGATATTGTGTAAAATTGAGAAATGAAATAAAACTTCTAATAATAATCAACACGATTGAACTTGTCAGAAGCCCCTACAAACCATGAAATTAGTTTAACTATATTGGTGCATTGGTGGAAAGGGAAGATGGTTTGGATATACTGCGTAATTGGACAGCTAAATAAATTTTATTACAACTTAAATTTAATTTATGTAATTGATATCAAAGGCACAGTTGACTATATTTTCCAACAACAAGAAATTCACCTTCACTCTCCTTATTAAGCCCCGTTATCGCATCACTAATGCATAGGTCCACTACAACAAAGTTTATGTCAACAAGCATATTTTCATCCTTCAATTCTAGAAGCACTCGTGTCAATAAGACAAATGCGGGTATGAAACAATAAAAGAAATATTTCAATAGAGATTAAAAGAAACTCCTATCTATACCAATAACTCTATGAAGAAGAACCAATGTTATATGTAATTTGCTTCAATTATTCCATTTCTATCAATCTTCAAATGATACATGAAATACAGATAAAACTCAAAGTTTTGGAGTCACGAATTTAAACTATGATTAAAATCTCTCATTCCAAAATTCTACACTAAACACAAACGCTTAAATTTCAACAGAGAAATCAAAACCGTTGCTAAAACCAAATTAAGGTCCAAATAAACAGAGCTTATACAATTAAGTACTGTTAATTAAAACCTGAAATTCTCAGGCATATTTAGCCACAAACGCTATTTCAATGGGAAATTAAGCAGTAACAAGCGAAGAAATTCTCACCGAATTAGAGGCCATTTCTAGCAACCCTTTTGCAATTGGGACGATGCAGAACCTAAGTTTAACAGTAAAAAATCAGAAAATCATGAACAAATGAAGCAATTGGTAAAAATTAAAATTAGCAAACTTAAATTGAGACAATAAAATTGAGAAATAGTAGGTAAATTACATTCCACGGCCACCAGCAAGAGCTTCTTCAGATGGATTTTTCCATTCATCAATTCTGACCCCAAAAATGATTAAAGAAAAAAAAAACAAAATTTAAGCATTAATTTATAGAACACTAATTTCAGAGAGAATTGTAGGGGGGAAGAAGGAGGAGGAGAGAACTGACACCCAACCGTAGCGGCGGTCGAAGAGGAGGCGCTTGGTGGTGGAGGTGGTTGGCGTGGTGGTGGTGGTGGAGTTAGGAGTAGTATTTGTGAATGATAATTGAGTGGTTTTGAATTCCATGCCTTTTTCTTCCTTCATCTTTCGTCTACTCTATCAAGCATTCAAGCATTCAAGCACTCGCACTCGTCATTTTATTGAACTACTCTGTACTCCGTAGAAATTTATGGGGAATGGGGATAAAGGTGGGCATTGGCTAGCCGTGTAGACTTATGTGTTGTGCGGCCTTGTGCCAGTATGCTCAATGTCTTGAATAGAGTATGAAATAGTCGTGCCATTTTGGGCTCATGTTGAGCTTCCATAAATAGAACCGGTGCAAGAGCCGATCCATGTGTTATGCCAATGTGCAATGCTTGCTGACCTATGTGTAGTATTATATGTTAAATAGTACTTTGTAGGTCGATTTCTCGTGTTCGTGCTAAATTTATAAAATGATGTTCATGCACAACTTATGCTTCATTGACCATTAGCATAGCTCTCATGCTGTGTCACACCATATTTATGTCGTGCCTAACCGATCCTCATATCACCCGTCTCATGTTCATCTATATTATGGGAGATAGTTATGGAGTGTTGGAGAAATTAATGGAGTAGATAGTTGTATTTTTTTCAAGAGAGTGCACATAATATTAAAATTGAGATTTGAAGGCTTTGTTGTTTACAGGTGGAAAATTGCTTCTTATATTATTAATCTATTATACTTCCTCCATTTTTTTTATTCCTTGCAACCAAGTGACTAAAGTGAGTTGGTAAGGAAAAGTGAATATGTAGGCAAAATAACCAATTTCCCCACCCATGTACCCTTTGGTATGTGGGAGTTTAGGGTGGGAAACTAGGAATGAGACTTTTAATTCCAAGTTTCCAACTAAAGGAAAATCCCATATTTGTTTCATGGGTTTGGGACTAGAGGTTGAGAATGAGCTTGAAAATATAAGTGGCCTCCATTCTCAAGTAACAATACTAAGGGCATCCACGATAAGAGGTTTGTCATTTTGCTCCAAATGGCCCATCTTTACCTTTTTTTATTTTTTTTGGTTTTTTAAATAAATCTTGTTGGGGGCACAGTTTATTTTTTATTTGGATAAATTTAATGAGTTGTATTGACAGTGGGTCTCATACATAAACCTTTGAATTGACAGTGGGTCTCATACATAAACCTTCAAATTGACAGTGGGTCTCATACATAAACCTTTGAATTTATCTATTATTGATGAAAGGTTTGTTAAGCGGGGAGTTTGTATGATGATGATGTGACAAGTGAACAAACCTCTAAGCAAGTAGGTTTGTTAAGAGTTTTGTTCTATTGCTCATGCCCTAAGCAAGCAAGTTTTAGAGATGGAAATATTAAATAAGGATACTTTTGTAGATTTGTAATACTCCGATATATCTTACATTTTGTAAATTTATTATACTTCTTATTTACTATTCTTATCAACATAAAGATTTGATCTTTTTTTTAATAAATTTCCAATAACAAATTCCCAACTTCACACATATTAAACTGCAAATGCTCCTCCTCCTTACCAGCCCCGTCGCATACCAGCTCTAAAATGATTTTTTTTTTTTTTTTCTAAAAGTCATCTACTCTTTCCTTCCCTAAATGATCTTCTCGCTTTAATTTCTTTTTTAGGTATCCTAAAATATTGTTCTCATTTCATATTTTTTCATTTTTGAACACTATGAAAAGATTAAATTATCCTTATTTTTTTGTTTTTTATTTACTAAACTACCTAAAATAATCTCACATTTTCTCTAAATATTTGTACCCGTGCATGTATTTTTTTTCTTCATATATTTATTATTTGCAACCCACTCACAATTCTTGTACTTTTCTCACTTTTTAATATACGATGAGATCATTTAAAGACGAAATGAGTATTAAACATGATCAACTAACCATAAACACGTAATCTTAATTTGTTTTGACGGTAATTTAAAAGAATAACTAGACCAACCTCGGAATTCCATACATTCCCCATATATGGGGTAAAAAAAAAAAAAAAAAATTCTGAATGAGGAATCCCCAATTTCCCATAACTGATTAACTCCATACATTTTCCCTGTACAGAAATTTGAACAAGTGAACTCATTCTCGCGCTCTTCCCACACCACCTCTCTCTCTGGCGCGCTCTCCTGCAGCAGAATTAGCTGTTGCTCAGCATCAATGGCGGATTTCGGAAGAAATTACAGAGCTCAACCGCCTCGAACTTCATCTGACTATTCAAATCAGACTGGTCATTTCTTTTTCCTTTCCTCTTTCATTCAAATTTCCAGGTCAATTGAAATAACATAAATCGCATTGCCAGTAGATTTCCGCCATTGTAGTCTAGAATTGTCGATTTCAGTTACTTCCGTCATTCGCTGGATAATCGTGCAATTTTCTGTGCTAATTCGCAATTTAATCAGCGATCTTAAACACATTAATCGCTCTCCTGTAGTAGGTTTGGCAAAAATAATTAATCATCATATTGTTTCATTAGATTGAGGAAATTGTTTAATATCTTCAATATAAATGCCAAATTATGCTCTGATACAGTGTATATTTCAAATAACATACTCATTTAATGCAAAATTATGTTCAATTTAATTGATTTCTCAAGTTCTGTAAACATGTTTGATGTGAGGGTGTGATGAACAATTTAGTCCTGGTATTTATAATTTGCTATGATTTGCTAATTGCTAGTTTCCTGGATTTATGGAGGTAATGGAACTAGTGGAATATTCATAAATTATTTCAGCACACCATAAGCAATATTATCAGTGAACTAGTTGAACTATATAATTGAGTAGTAAGGGTTGTAAACGCCGTAACACTGTTAGTGCACTGAGATTCGTAAAATGATTTTGGCTAGAATGAGGAAGACAACCTGGAAATTGGTTAAATCGCTGTGTTTTGTTGAGAAAATATTGTTGTACTTGGGAAGAACAAAATTAATTACGTTAGGTCTATCTCTTATGACTTCTTATGTTTCTTGTATTTAGGTAGGAGTTTTAGCTTCTTGTATAATATGTCTTGCCTTTATAGAAATTAGGAAGTAAATCAGTCGAGTTCTGTCATCGTTCAGGTAGTAGTGGGGTATGTATGATGAGCAACAAGTGGAAAGAAGAGCAACATCCATCCTTCATCAACTTCATCTCGACATTCCTCAGTGCAAACTCTTTCCGGTTTAATATTGTCCCTATTGCACCTGTAATTCTCTTGTAACTTTTCACAATCTGTCATTTTTTTAATTACTTTTCGCTACGCATTCCATGTTGACATTATCATCTATGTTAGTAGGATTTTATTTTCAACTGTGGTGGAGTGTCAGTGGCTTTTGTCTTTGTCACTTCCTGGGATTGCAAAAGCTCCACACAGATGTATAGCAGGTAATTTTTTTGATCACGGCTTCCCTTAAACTTTCTTGGAGGAGGTCCCTGACTGTGATATCGATTTATAGGGTACATAAGCTGAAGGAACAATTTGCAAACCTCTATGTTGTTGTCACCCTCCCAACTAAAGAGCAAAACGATTCTTTTGTTTGCTCTTACTTCAAGTGAGTCCCTGAATTTAGTGTACTCATTTGAATTAATTTTGTTGGATTCAACTGGAATTGAAGTCTTTTTGTAATTATTTTTTATTATTATTTTATTTGAGTTGTGAAGGAGTGGAATTGATATTGGGAGGCCTACATTTTTGCCAGTTCTTGACTTGGAGATGGGTTTTGAGAAAATTGTGAAGATTGCTCATGCTCGTGGTGGTAAAGAATTTTTTTTGAAGTTTTTCTGATGTCAGCTTTGTTATTGAATGTTTGCTCATTCTTATTTTGTTGACCGATGAAATTCTTGTTCAGTGTGCAAGCAACAAGATATCATAGCACGGATGAAGGCTGAGGTTAGCTCTTCTTTGAGTGGAATTATACTTTAATACATAAATACTTAACGTGATGTATTTCCTTTTTCTTGAAGAGGAAACAAGCTGTGGAAGGGATGGATGCTTTTCTCAGGGTGGTCACATCTATACCTGGCATAGACAACCATGATGCAAACTCGGTAATTCAAATAATATTGGATCCCACTTTACCTTTTACCTGTTAGGATAAAGAATCCATTTTCCTTGGCATTAAAAACTTCTACATTTCGTGTTGAAAACTTGAATAAGGTTCAAAATATGAGCAAATGATTTCAATGATTGTCCAGTGCAAAAAGATTATCATCTGCAACGAAAGATTATTAATGGTATTATATATCCATTGGCAAATGACAATTTCCATGCTATGTCTTGCTTGTCCATGAAGAATTAATTTGGATTTTGGAGGAAGTGTAGATATTGTTCGATGGCTTGGACCTGATGAAGTTAATTAGAAAATGAGAAGGCTACGTTGGTACCTGAATTTGTATATCATTGACCCCATACCTCTCCACATACACACCCCCACCCCCTCCAACCTAGAGTCATAAATAATTATGAAAAGGACCGGAACATTTCTCCCTGAGAGGAGAATATCTGTTACCAAGCAAAAAAAAGACATCTTGGATGAAGGGGGTTAGTGCTAGAAAAGGAGAAATGGTTTTGGTCATATTCACATTATAGCTAAAAATTGGCTTGCATCATTATTTCACTAGTTTGTGCCTTTATGTTATGGAATGAAAATCTGGAGAGAAAAAAAACCCCTCAGGTTGGGAGCCCTTAGAACCATGTTAACCAAGCAGCCTTATACAATTTTATGCTGTTTTAGTTGTGTAATAGTATTAGGGGGTGATGGAACTAGTTAGGGATGGTCTGGATGGATTACCTTGGACCTATGAGCACTAATTTTCTATACTTGTTGCACGCTATTCTACATGAAAAATGAACACTATTTGTTCATAATAATTTCCGTTGATTTATGTATGACTAGCTTTTGCAATTGGATGAATAAAGATGAATCCCTACCGACTGCTGAGGCTAGTGAATGTTTAGTTAATTTAGTGAAAAATATTAGCACATAGATGATTACTATATTAACTATAGGGATGCCAGACCTATATTTCAGATAGTGAAAATAGGGTCAATTGCCGTTGATGTTCTGCATGGCTGCATACAATTATACTCTCACTAGCTAAGAACATGGGACTAAATATCTGCTCTGTCCAGCTCAATCAAGCTATTGGGTCTATTGAAGCAATAGCAAAAGCATCAAAGGAGTATATTCTGGAAAACACCGACCTTTCAGCTGAGAAGGCAGAAACTATTTGGAGATTTTTCAGGGATCCAAAGTACTACCTCAGTCCAAAAATTAATTGAGTGAAGATATCAAATTAGAGGTATGAAATATTATCTGCTTGCTCTAAGTTATCTATACGACTATGCTACATTGACTATTGATGTTCCAAATATTGGTCTAGAGTTTCTTTAGGTTTCGAGCAACTAGAAGTTCTAGCAATTAAATCACCATCATATTTATGTCAGCAGTTTGTTGAAATTTGCACTAACGAAGTGGTTAAGTAATCTGATTATGTTCAACCGTTCAACAATGACAACCCCTGCTGTCTGATTGTTATTTGCATGTTCCATCAGTCTGAAAAAAAAAACATCTAGAATACTGCGTGGCTGGCAGTATGTTTGGCCCTGTCAATGCCTGCTCTTTTGCTCTGTTCTAAATTTATTTCACTTGTGACTCGTTCATTTTCAGGCAATAGAATGAGTGTGTAGTCGCGGAAATTCTAATCTACTAGCTACTTGAGGAAGATGAAAATTTGCCACTTAAGGAAGAAACTGTTGGCACAAATTGACCAAAATTTATGCTGATAAATGTATGTTTGACTTTTATAACCTCTCTCTCTCTCAGTTTTGCTTCACTGTAAGAAGAAATGGTTGAATCAGACAATGCACTAAGGAAGCTACCACCTAATCTGGTGGACTGGGTTTAGCTAGAGCATCATTGTTTAATACTTTAATAGACAACAATCTTCTACTTAGTAGTAGTTGTCATATTTACTAATCAGAATGAATTAAAAATGACGTATCATATCAAACAAAACATCTTTGTGGCTTGGAGCTCTTGTGTGTAGTGTGCATGGATAAATGAACCAATTTCTTACATACACTCGGGTGTACGACGTATCAAAGAGACTAAGACATAGTAGTTCTTACTCCCTAACCCATTATGGTTGGTTTTGGCTTGCGAGTACAATGCTCCATGGTCCAAAGACCACAGCTATAATTTTTGCCGATGTTGGTATATAGCTTGCGCCCGGATGATTTGAAATAATCAATCATAAGTAATGAATGTTAGACTTTTTGAACTCAATCTGTAAGAATAGTGCTCCTAGTTTATACTTCCCAATAACAAAATTCAACTTGCCTGACAAGTTAGGTAAGTAACGCCTTATATTATTATAGACAGTAAATTAGACTATGAACAAACAGTTGACTTGGTTAAGGATACAGAGACTAATTAAACTCGTTATGTAATTTTTCTACATGTGCACTCATAGTTGGAGTTGGAGGCGCTAAAAAAAATTGAGTGTATATAGACATTTTCCAATCTATCTTACTTCGTCAAAAAACTGTTATAAGTGCTTATCGAACTAGAACCATATACAGCTCAATCTAACCTAGCTTAATCGGCTAGACCCCTTTAGAGTGGAGTCAGGGAGTGGAGGAAGATTAAGAAAATTTCCACCTCAAAGTGCCCTTAGGGGTTTTATTCTTGCAATGTTGTGCAACACAAACTTTAATCTCTATAAAGCAGAATTTGTGATTTTTTATATTTCGTACTTCACACATTAAATTTTTAGCTATCTGACTCGTTTTATATTAATTAAAAATTAACATTCAAAAAGATTGATTTATATGTAAATTGCTTGAGGTGATTAATCATATTGTATACGACACAACCATATATACACGAACCATTGCTATAATTGCATGAAGTATCGGACACTTCATGATTGACCACCGGCCACCTTAATATCATGCACCAAGATAGCAAAACCCATATTTTCCCTCCTCGAAATGTCCAATATAATCGATAAGGAATTGATGAATTTAATACTTGTATAGGAGATGTCGTGCATGTTAGTATTTGTTGTCGTTTTCAATAGTACGACCTTGGCAAGTCGGCGGATAGTTTTGTGCCTTTTATTCAACGATTCTTTATACATCCACACAAAAAGTCAACCTTTATGAATCGTAATGATCGAATTAGAAATTAGAATGTGTCAGCATACAAAGACCATTTCCATCTTTCACTTAACCCAAAGAAAGCTTCCAATTCTCTTCATTCCCTCTTTTTCATTCTCTCTTCTATGAGAAACGTGCATTTGTCGCGATAATATGACCGTGACAACCTTCTCTTCTAACCCGGGTTTTAACCCGTCTAATTTATACCATGGGTTATATAAGTACAAGTGTACAACCCTTTTCTTGTATTAGTTATTTATTTGTCAAGCTAAGTTAGCTTAAGGTTATGGGTTATATATATATAATTCATAAGTTATGTAGATGTTGAGGATTTCCTAAGGTTTTTCTCCATTTTATTGTCTAGGAAAATAGTTTTGTTTTGTGTGTAAGTCAAGTGATAAACTGATAATAATGGAAGCCGTTCCTATGCCACTTCATGTTCCTCTATCGTCTCCTCCTTCGTTCCCATGGGTTACCGATGTTATGGTTCATCAACTTGGAGGGCATTTACATTCCTCGCTTTCACAGGGGAATGAATCATTTGACGTTGGTAATGTCAATGCAGTGCCATTAGTTAAGTCGCGAAAGAGGCCTGCAATGCTAGTCTTGCCTGAATTAAGCCCTGAGAAAGTGTTTTTTTCGGAGAAAAGGAAAATTGAAAATGTTGAAGTTGCAATCCAAGGGAGGGAATATTGTGTGTTTAGTAAGAAAGGAAGGCGAGAGCATATGGAAGATCGATACAAGGTCGTTACAGACATTTCTGGTGACTCTAATCAGGTACATTGTCACCACCCTTCAACGAACCTTTCTCATTTAGTTAATTTCATGCAAAAAATAAAATAAAAAAGGTTTTCCCTTAATTTGTCCCTAAAAGAACTCCAAGATTGACTTGGGCATGGATTTTGGGAATAGTCGTTATTGAATGAGAACAAAATATATAATGAAATGCAGAATGTAGATGGAATGAAAATGAACAAAAAGTGAGAAAGTACTATGAGTTTACTGATGATGCTGATCATAAGAGAAGAAAAATTCATATTGCTCATACGAATGTAACAAGTCCTACATAATAGCAAATTAGATGGTGCGCCCGATATTGAGGTTTAATTTGTATGGGACTGATGATATTTTAGCGATTATCTATATTTTGTTCGATATCCAAGGTGAAATAATGTTTCTTATTACATAGGACAAGGGAGAAATATTTAAACTAATGTCATGATTGTCATCCATACATACTAATTATGTGGATGTTTATTATGTGACGGAGGGAGTACGTTATGATGATAACTTGTTTCAATAATTGATGTTTTTATTGAAACGTTGGAAAAGCAGGCATTTTTTTGCTGTTGTTGATGGACACGGAGGCCAAGCTGCAGCCGATTATGTTGCAGATAACTTAGGGAAAAACATTCTGAATGCACTTGAAAACCTTAAGGAAGAAGATCAAGCCATACACGACGGCTACTTGGAAACTGATAGAGGATTCCTGAGTAAGGTAAATTACTAAAACATAATCTTCTGTAATCTGTATGTATGTAACAAACATTTTACGAAGTTATTGACCGTGTCAAAGCGTCTATGTGACAAGAAAACGGCTGTATACATAATACATTAATACGTATTTGGATATTGACTTAGTCTATTCCTTGAATAAAATGTACTTCAAATCAGCAATTTCCTTGTTGATTCCTACGTAGGTATATGACTTTTCTATATGCAATCTCGCTCTTGTATATACAACTCATTATTCATCCTACTCAGATTCGGATGTCATGTCATGCATGACTACTTTTGAAATCTCTCAATCTTCATTTTATTATTGAATATTTTTATATATAAATTAAGGTACTTTTGAATTATATAAGATTGGAATTTTCTATTAGGGAACATGAAGGATGTAGCTTTTTACCCTTAATTATGTCTATTTTCAATGTAGTTAATATCCTTTTTTTCCTGACTTTAGCTAGTTGACTACATTAAATGGTTGTTAAAGTGCCAAGATTTTTTTTTATTACCCTAAAAAACCATGGTTCAATTTAAAGGTCAATTGGAAACAACCTCTCTATTATTGCCGGCCTGGGATAGGTTGCGCACATTTGACCTCATAATTTTGTGTAGGGTAAGAGTTACCCTCAGTATTCCTATCATACCCCATTTTACTTGGATCCACTGCACCTCCATATAGGACTTATCTCTTTGGACAAATCCATTTTGTACATCCCTTGAACCCGTGGATGAGTAAGATTCTTGCATAAGATCATTCCGTTGGTGTATGTAGTTTGATGAGAGTATATTGCCTTATCAAACTTAGCTTATCTGTGGCTCGCTCGTGAATGACTAATAGTTTGTATTAGTATCATTACTAGAATATATTATGATGATGATGATCTATATTATATGTGCAAGTATTAATCTATCAGTATGCATGCATTGAATGCAGGGTGTAAGCAGTGGAGCTTGTGCAGCGAGTGTGCTCATAAGGAACGGTGAATTGCACGCTTCTAATGTCGGTGATTGTGGAGTAGTTTTGAGTAAAAGAGGATTAGCAACTAAACTGACAAATGACCACCACTTAAGCAGAGAAGATGAGCGTTTTCGAATAGAAAACACAGTGAGTGCATCTAATATTGCATACCATATAAAACATTCTGAATTGCAGATTTCTATTACTCTAAGATAATCATAAGATAATTAGTCATGTTTAAGCGTAATTAAAATTGCAGGGTGGATTTGTACATAGCTGCAACGGAATTTGGAGACTTCAAGGTACTCTAGCAGTGTCAAGAGCAATAGGAGACCTGCATTTGAAAGAGTGGATTATTTCTGAACCTGAGATTCAGAAAGTCCCCTTAACTTCAGACTGTGACTTCATTATAATGGCCTCCGACGGGCTTTGGGACAAGGTACAAAAAGAAATCCCTTTGATTTATAGTTAGTTGGTCCTTGGTCTTGTGTGCGGCCCATTCATCCTATATATGGTGAGCCAAGTAGTTTGCCGATTGTCACCTCTAACAAGTCACCTCTCAACAATATAATAAGTCACACCTAACACGTCATGACATATTATAAAATATCACCCTAGCATAATATGAAAATTTATCCCTCAAACCTAAGAATATAACAAGTTTCCCATTAGGCCATGAACAAAGAACAAGTTATCCCATCATTCCCATGACCAATGGGTTGCAGCATTGTCTAGGAGATTACACTTTGATAAGTTTGATTGCTAATAATCACTGTATGTTTTTAGAAATTACTAGTTTTAATAAAAAAAACTACTCCATGCATAATTATATTTATATTAAAAAGTACTGTCAAAACATTTTATCTGAAACATGTTAGATCAATATATTAGGAACAATCAATAACAGTCAAAATTCAGAGAAAGTAAATTAATCATCTCTTACATTTTGGTGAATATTATTGCACACAGGTGAGCGAACAAGAGGCTGTCGATATCGTTTCAAGGGAAGAAGATAATGCAATGGAATCCTGCAAGAAACTTGTTGATGTATCCTTTAGCAGAGGTAACAAAGATGACATCACTGTCATAGTGATCAACCTTCAAACATATGTTGCAGTTGCTGATTCAAGTGCTGAAACATTCACATAAGCGTGCATCTATCAACTTCATACACTTCATGTTCCCTTATTGGACTGTAAATATAAATAATTTAGCTGGACATCGGAAGTAGTGGCGAAAAATGCTGATGATATGTTTCAATGATCAACGGAAAGCTCAAGGAGGGGGAAACAATCTGCATCAATTTTGTATAGATTTGGTTAGAACTTAGAAATAAATTAGTACGTACTAGATTTAGATTTATCCAGTAGAAATTATTTTGTAACGTTTTTTCCAGTAGTAATTGACAGATTTTAAGAAAGGAACTAAAAGAAAAGGGGTGAAAAAACAAGTTCTTGATTTGTGCATGTTTACTTCATGTATAGAGAGCAATTTTTTTTTAACTCACAGTGAATAGTATTATCATGATATCATGCTTAACGAAATTTTACTTCTTGGGTGAAATTTGAGAATATTTTTTATTTTTTATTATTATAGAGAACATGGTCTTACATGTGTTAAATCTGTTAATGTTACTCATCAATGTCAGGAGATCTTAATAAAATCCGAGGTGCCTGACTAGCAAAGGTGCATTGATCAACGCGACACCACCTAAGAAACCCAAGCACACTGCACACCTTGTATTTAGCATACTCGCAACCAACACTTATCCAACACAATGATAAACTTTTTATTTTCTCCTAGAGGACGCCCCATCCAATTGATCTATTAGATTAATATAGTTCATTGATCTAGTGGTGTTATTGTAATATTGAGGAACAGTGGGACTGTGTTTAGCATTATCACTATTGTAATAATGAGTCAAATTCAAGAGAAGATTGACGTTAACACCATCTTCTTCATCTCGCGTTAACTCCATTGAAAGAGCTCGAGTTTTCTTCCACCTTCATCCTCACCCACCTTCCATTGACACCGTCCACCACTATTTTTAACGGCGAATTAAACGAAAAATCTTAAGAAAAAGGGAGAAATAAAGGGCATGGTCAACCTCAAAGGGTAGGGGAGGACGTGTTCCTACATTGAAATTGCCTTTGAGCTTGAATTAACGCCGTTCCACGAGTTTTGACAATGTTAAATTCTTTTATATGTGAAATAACAAATTTACCCATATTAAAAACCTTTAGATAAAGATATTGTTTATCAAATAGATCTTGTTCCGAATAACCAAATCCCTTTCCTATCAAAAAGCAAAAGAAAAATTGCCATGATTAATCCTAACTTTGCCTCATCCACCAATATTAATCCCAACTTTGAATTATTTTTTATTAATCCGAACTTTATACACCTTCCACTCATAACACTCTTAGGTGACCGATTACCTGTTGAGGAAGTAATTATTTTTTTTTTTTAAGTTTAATATACACATGTCAGCATGTTTTTGGTCAAAAAAACAAATAAAAAAAGATAAAAATTAAAAAAAAAAAAAAAAAAAAAACCCAAAACCCAAAACCACCAAGGCCAGCCCCCTGCCACGGTGCCACCACGGCCAGCCCGCTGCCAGCCCCGCCCAACCCCTTCCCCTTGAGTGCCGGCCGCCGCCCACACCCCTTCCCCTCCCCGGTGCCGACGCTGCCCCGACCACCCTCCTTTTCCCCTTAAAACCTCCCGTAACACCTCCCCTCCCCTCTAAAAACCCATAAATAACCTCCCCGACCGCCGGAAACATCCAGCCGCATCTCCCCTCACCGCTGCCTTAGAGCACTACCAATGGTGAGCTAAAAATTTGCTCATGGGCATTTTGGGTGGGCATAAAATTTGCTCATGCATTACAATGGTGAGTAAATGAGACTAAGCCAAAAAAAATGCTCATGAGCATTTCTGAAAATGCCCAAGACTTGAGCATTTTTTAAGATGAATAGTGCTCTGGTGGGCCCCACAATTTGCAATGGTTATATATTTTGTAATGCAAATTCTGAAATAAATATTTATTAAAAAAAAAAATTAAAATTACCAACGGTCATAAAATTTAATTCTCTATAAATAGACATGCATTTTGGTATATTTTGGTATAATTTCAGAAATACCATAAATCCTCCATATTCTTTATTTTAACGATAAAAACGACACAAATAATAAAAAATAAGTTACACAAATTTAGACTAGTTTTTATTTATTTGGAGTAATATTGTTAAAATATAAATGAAATTAATAAATAAAAAAGTGTTGTGTAGGAGAGAGAAAGTAATGGTGGGGTATTGAAAAAGTAAGAGAGAGAGAGTAGTGGGCAAGCATTTTTTTTGCTCACCATTGGGAGAGAAATTGTGAAAAAAATTTGCCCATGGGCAAAACAGATTTGTTAAGAGAGAATGTGGGTGGGCATTTTTTTTGCTCACCATTGAGAGTGGTCTTAGCCTTGCACTCCTTTTCCTTTTCTCTCTCTCCTCCCTTCACCATCGGCGCTGCCGGAGATCGACGCTTACGGTTAGAGTTTGGGATTTGGGGAATTTTGTTGGATTTCGTGGTGATCGTTGGGGAAAGGGGAGGGTGGTCGGGGCACCTCCGGCACCGGGGGAGGGGAAGAGGGTGTGGGCGGCGACCGACACTCAGGGGGAAGGGGTTGGGCAGGGCTGGCAGCAGGCCGTGGTGGCACCGTGGCAGGGGGCTGGCCTTGGTGGTTTTTGGTTTTTTTAATTTTATTTTTATTTTTTAAGCCAATTATACGTTGAAATGTGTCTTGTAACCTGTAATATTAGGTTGGATGGGGCAAAGTTGGGAACTTGGGATTAATAATGGTGACTAATTTTCCAAGCAAAAGCCCACTCATAAAACTTGCCAAATTGTGATGCCCTTTGCAACATTCTCTGATTTCTTTCCACTACCCCCGACGCTTCCTTTGCTTCACTACTCGCAGACGTCGCAGCAGAAAACCCCTAAAACCTTACTTTCTCTCTTCTCTGCATCAATGGCTGACAAACCTCAAATGGCGGCCATTACACTTGGTGGAAAAGCTTCATCTCTCTCATCTACCTCAGTTTTTTTGATATCCAATAAGCTCTCTCAGGTACGTATTGATTCCTCCATTTTCGAGAGATTATCATCTTCTTCGAACAGTAATGTCGTTTCTCCTTCAATCAAGTATCAGATCGAATATCCTAAATTTCTAACTTTTGAAGAAATCAGAGCTTCTGCGACTATTCTATTGTCCAAGCTTTTGCTGTCTGCTTCCCCAATTCGTATTGAAATCCCCAATTTGATATGCAAAACCCTAAATTCTGAATCCACTTCTTTAGTTTTTGAGTCAATTGATGTTACTGAAGAGGAGAAATGTGTGTTAGATGCGTGTTTATCTGTATCTGTGTTAGATGGTATTTGTGCGTTGTTGGATTATGGGGCCTCGTGTTTGTCCCCTGTATCGGAGATGGTGGCGGCTTTGTCGTGTGAGGCGTCGAAGGCAAATGTATCGGCTTTTAATTTGGTTGATTCAGGAGATGGGAAATGTGTGAAAGATGAAGCTAGTGTTGCTAGTGATCTTAAGGTTTTGCTTAATGGGTCCAAATTGACTGGTAAGGTTGAGGTTGATGCGGTTTCGAGTATTCCGAAGGTTTACGGGAGTTTGAGGGCTTCTGCAAGGGCTGTGCACTCGATAGCTAGGGCCGAGTTGAATTCGGTAACTAAGGGTAATGTAGGTGGAACAGGGGAGGCGTGGGAATCGGTTTTGATGTCGTTAGAATCCGTGCTTAGGAATTTGGGTGAAAGTAGTTTGAGTAGGGCGGATTTGAGTGTTAGTTCCATTGTTAGTGATGGGTTACAGTCAAGTTTGAAAAGCCTGATTGATGAGAAGTGCCCTACTAAACAGAATTTGCGAGATGCTTATATGATAGCCTCGAAAGCCGCCTGCGAGAAAGATTATGTGAAGTTAGTGCACAATGTCAATGAACTGTTTGGCTTGGTAATGACCGCGGTATCTTGGGAGATGATAACTGCCATTGCTTCGTTGGAGGGAAGTGATTTGCTTGACAAGAATGAAGTTGCTGCTAATGGAGAAAATGCTAAAGTAGATAAGAAGAAAGATAAAAAGAAAAAGGTGTTCGGGAAGGGGACATTGGTTGTCCTGGAGCTTGTTAGAGAAAGGTTGCAGAATGTTATAGAGGATGGAGCTGATGTTCATGCCAACTTGCAAAAATTAGCTGATAATTTATGCTCATTATTGGACCCCAAGGTTCCTGCCTTTGGCAATTTCATAGAGAAAATAAAAGAAATTGTCGAAAGCAATGAAAGCAGAAGACTCCCGAAGATCCCAAAGGTATTGTTTTGTTGGTCTTATGATTCTGTTTAGTATCTTTTATGCGGTTGATGTCTGTTGCACATTTCTTTTTATTTCTGTAAATCATTGTTCCTGCTTTAATGCTAATAATATTACAATTATTATATAACATTTATCGAATGAAATCTAAGGATTGAACTATGATGAAAACGAATGAGATTAAACGAATAGCGGAACTATAAAAGTTATGATATCAAAGGTGCTATTAGATCACCCCAAAATCACGGAAATTGGTTGTATGAACTAGTCTCTCAAGGTCTTTTTTTCTCACCCCTGCTCTTTATACTACCAATTTGCTTACGTCACTTCTCATTCCATAACAAACTCTGCCAAGGCACTGTAGGCATTTCCCAACCGATTGCTGAAATAATCGAAGGGGATTCCCCAATTTGTCCTTTTCATGAAGCCTGGCATAAGTCCAGCAAATTGGTGGCTTGGGGAAATTAGGCTGATGCATATCGATAAAGTTGCCTGATTTCTTTTTGATCATTCATCTATGTACATACATATGTTAAGTAGAAGTTTAGCAATGCAGAGGTGTGGATTCATTGAATTATTCAACTAGTTAGCAGCATGGAGCTAATTGGCTGTCACATTCATATACAGAATTCACAGATTTCATGAAATGTTCCATCCTGTTCTTGACTTATAGCTGTCTTGGAACTCATTCCTGAATAATGCCTCTTTGATAAGCTTGTACTATCTTCTTCATGCAATGATACGAATGCAGTTGATATAATAATTAGTGAAAATGTACGAACTTTTATTATCTATTCTGGTCCATTGGGTATGGACTATCTACTGATTGAGCTTCAGTACTTGACCGAATGTTTGAAACTAGTTATTATGTGTTTTTTTTTTTTTTTTTTTTTTTTTTTTTTTTTTTTTTTTTTTTTTTTGGGGGTTGCTTAGTTACAATGTCCTGTTAGTGTTGTACCATAGCTTTGGGCTGAACACCCATCTTCATTGTCCTTTGCCAAGGACAATAGTAAATTGAGTACTTACAATTTGATGGTAATTATATGCATTGTTTAACTAAGAATTATATGCATTGTTTAACTAAGAATGTAGTTATCATTTGATAGTCCATCCCTGTTCTGATGGTGTGGAGCCGTGGAGGTGGCAGTGTCCTTTTCCTTTATGGAATCTTTATAGGATAATGTTTAACATAAATTTTTAAACTCATGGTCTAGTATATCAAAGACCCACATGTAGTGAGAGGAGTGAAGGTAAAAACATCCATGTCATGTGAGTAAGCTGTTGAGTTATGCCCCTGTTATCGTAGTATAAAATGTATTATTGTCTTTTACTCATCGCTTTTGAGGGAAAAATTGAAGTTTTCAATGAAGACACCCTTAAACTGCTGTGTAAAACACAATAGGTTTTTTTTAAAAAAGTTTCTTCTTTTTTCTGTAATATGTAAAATTATTAAAATAAATAATAAAATTTTGAAACTAACTAGTATGACTCCCTCTTATCCTAATTATTACACTACATTATCTGTCACTTTAAATTTCTACTTTTTGTCACTTTCAAATATCAATGAAATAAGATTTGTGAATATCAAAGTTTTAGCTAGCAAGTTCTTAATGTATATATCATATCCTTAAAAACAGATCATAATGAATGATGAGTAAAATGTTAATGAATATTGAGAACAACTAGAGTTAATGAGTGATTTGAGTCGTATACAAATTATGTTATTGATGTTTGACATTCAATGCCATGACCCACGAGTGGATAAATAAACAAATAGTTGGGAATTCTACTGGTTGCCTAGTGGTAACTCAGAAGGTCATGTCAAAGACTTACTTTGATTAAAGGACATTGCTACTTTGCTTGATCAGGTTTGGAGATGAGGGTAGTCAATCAGTTTTTGGTAGGCCTATTCACTTTAGCTAACGTTTAACAAGCTTGATTTTGTTTATGTGAAAGCAAAGTACCTTACATCATTCAGCTCCATCGGATTTGACTTGGACTAAAACATTTCATTTTTAAGTCACAATATGATGTGATTATTTTGTGCTCAAATACCATTTTATGTCAGAGTAAGGGTCAAGTTTCTAGAACTGAATTCATGTATACATATTGATATATATAGAATTGATATTAGGTTAAAATGTTTCTTTTGAAATATAAATTATTCTGAAGTTCATTCTTGTTTTTCATCAGAACTCACAAGAGGGGTCCTTTTTAGGGCAACCTCATTCATGATCAAGTTGATCATGAATTGTAGTCTGAGCCATAATCAATTGGAAAGTGCATCTCATGACTAAAAAAGTGTGTCATGGTATGGTATGACAATTTTCAATTCTTATCATCTTATGATCAACTTTATGCATTGGATTATGAGAAATGGAGTCTACAACATAGTTGGGTTTTTTTTTAATTTTTTTTTATTTAAATTTTTTTTTAATTTTTTTATTTATTATTATTATTATTATTATTATTATTATTATTATTATTGTTGTTGTTGTTGTTGTTGTTGTTGTATTAGAATTATTGATGTATTAGAATAAAATTGTGATGGCACATGGTGAAAATGTAGGGGAGCCTGGGAGGGAGGGATGATACTTGTTTATAGTTCATAATCATATCGGGTTGCTCTCTTAGCCGCTGGTGTTGATTTGTAATATTTGTACTTTGAAAGCACTTGTCATTTATCCTATTTAGTGCTTTTTTGCTTGAATCTGCAATTTCTTGTGGCTTTGGTTTGACTTTACTGTCAAAGTCCATGCAAGACCACCTTCTGCGGTATTTCATGATATAATGTTACTTGATAATGCCTGATTTTGTACTATTTTTGAAAAATATTCTTTTGTCATTCTTTCTCATGTGGACATGTTTCTTGTCTTCTTGTGCTATTTTAGGTGCCATCTAAAGCCTTGTAATATTTAATCCATTTTTACTCTTCCATGTATACCAGGGTACACGCGATTTTGCTAAAGAACAGATGACTGTGAGGGAAAAAGCTTTTTCAATAATCACAGATGTTTTCAAGAGGCACGGTGCTATGGCATTGGATACTCCTGTTTTTGAATTGAGAGAGACTTTGATGGGAAAGTATGGAGAAGACTCAAAATTGATTTATGATTTGGCTGATCAGGTAATGCACCTCTAATTTGCTCCTCTGTCTGGATATATGTTTCTTTGAATGGAAAAATGAGTATATAACCTTCTTTGACGACCAGTTTCTACAGCATAAATTTTCCTTTCTGGAATTAATCATAAGTCCATAACCCTAATTGGCACGTAACCTTTTCTACTTCTTTTGTTTGTAGTTGAGAAAATTTCTACATCTTATGTTTGTAGTTGAAATATAACTACTCATGTTTGTAGTTGAAATATAACTTTTCTGTTTTGCCCAGACCTCTACCCATTTGCTTTTTATCATCAACTTTTAAGTTCTTTTAAAATGCTCGCACACAACTCTGGTGTATCACTGACATGAGCTATGACTTTAAAAAGGTTTTGTATGTCCTCATAAGTTAAATCTTTGATTTTAAAACTCTGCAGATGTAATTCTCTTTTTGTGGTTTTTTGCTTTATGTGTTTTGATTTTCAATACTTTGTGTATTAATTGCAAATAATCTAGGGTTTAATTAGTTTGATTGATTGTTATTATTGTGCCAAATTTGATGCAGGGAGGGGAACTCTGTTCTTTGCGATATGACTTGACTGTCCCGTTTGCTCGACATGTGGCAATGAATAGTCTTACATCATTCAAAAGATACCAAATAGCAAAAGTTTACAGAAGGGACAACCCATCTAAGGGAAGATATCGTGAATTTTATCAATGTGATTTTGACATTGCTGGCCAGTTTGAGAAGATGGGGCCTGATTTTGAGGTGGTTAAAATATTGACTGAGCTTCTTGACGAATTGAACATTGGAGAGTATGAGGTACTTTTAATTTGAAGTAGGTTCCAATAGTTTATTACTGTTGTTCTTAACCATTTGTGTTTGAACTTTGAATCCTACGTACTTATCTCTCTGTTAAATGACTTTTTTTTTTCTTTTTTTTTTTTTTGACAAGATGTTAAATTTGAGTTAACCTCAAAATTTAAATTTTATATTGATCTAACATATTTGATTCTTAACGGTGTCCTCTACTGAACTATGTCTCCAGGTAAAGTTGAATCATCGCAAGTTGCTTGATGGAATGTTAGATATTTGTGGAGTTCCTCCAGAAAAGTTTAGAACAATCTGCTCTAGTATTGACAAGATGGACAAACAGTCATTTGAGCTAGTGAAAAAGGAGATGGTGAGACTTGTTCCACTCTCTATATCTCTCACTCTTTTACTGAGAAAGACTAGTACAATATATATTTCAGGATTTTGAAAAGTCTTTTAGTCATTTGTTAATAAAAAACCATTGTTGCATATGATGACACTGGTTACCCATTTGTTAATAAAATAGAAGATATATTTTGGTTGATGATGAACTGTTTTAACTTATGCAGGTTGAGGAAAAGGGTTTACTTGAAGAGACAGCTGATATGATAGGTAATTTTGTGAAAGAAAAGGGATCTCCTCTGGAGCTGCTCTTGAAGCTTAAACAGGAAGGAAGCGATTTTCTGAAACATGAAGGAGCAGCCCTTGCATTAGATGAATTGGAACTGTTATTCAAACTCTTGGAGAAATCGAAGTGTGTAGATAAAATCGTTTTCGATTTAAGTCTTGCAAGAGGTCTTGATTACTATACCGGGGTGATATTTGAAGCTGTCTTTAAAGGAACCACACAGGTGAAAATTTTACTCAATTTTGTGAACCCTTCCTCGTTATATATTTTACATGCATATGTGTGTGTTGTCTTTACTTAAATCCATAATGATGAGTATAAAAGTTACTTTCTTTCCTATTGTTTTGTCATTATGGCCTTCTCTGTTTATAACTAATTGGCAACAGTAACTCGCTATTTCTCACTACATAGCATCCACCTGCCTCCCTAGCCCACAGAAAATATATATACTCTGTATTGTGGTGTGATTGAGTAAGATTTTATAACATATTACAGAGTAATTCAAATTTATGGATTTTGATCGTTTTTATATTTATTTGGCAAGTTATTCCACATTCCTGATTCATGATCAATATGAGTCACCCATTTGTGCTGCCAGGTTGGATCCATTGCTGCTGGTGGACGCTACGACAATCTTATTGGGATGTTTGGTTCAAAGCAGGTTCCTTCAGTTGGTGGTAGTCTGGGAATAGAACGTGTATTTGCAATCATGGAGCAAAACCAGAAAGATCAAAACCAGGTAATTTGAAATTAATTTCTTAAATACAACTTGTTTGATTCATGCTATTCTTTGAACTGAATGGTAAAACTGTTGCTGCCATTCATGATATGTAGGTAATTGATGAATCCTATTGCCGTGCATTCTTCTGTTATAATTTTTTTATTTTTTGGCCAGCCCCTAAGGGCGAGAAGGGAGGTTGAGTTGGGAGGATGTAGATAAAATACTCTCTACTTTTTTTCCCTTCTGCTTCAAGCAGCTCTGGTGACAGAGCCTTTTCCTCGGAGGCTTTGGTATGGACGTATAATATCCATATTCCACGTAGCAATGATTCTGTTAAATTTAATAATTTATTTGTAACTGAGTTTTATCTTTTCCCACTACGCAACAGTGTTGATGTAGTGGCGTACTGCATAGTTGAACCAGAATGCCTCCCGGCCATGTGATATTGTTTAGATTGTCCTTTAGTAAAAACCTTCAGATATAAGCTCTTTTGCTAGGGTATCCTTCCCTAGATGAAGAAGATGGGAAGAGAGTAGGGATACATGATGTGTATTTTTGGTCTTTTGACTCTTTTGCTTTTGCCGGGAATATGTTGGTATATATTGTTGCTTTGATTGTATTGTTGAATGTGTGTTCATGAAATAATTTTGGTCAATCAATTTTCAATACTAACTGCTTCCTGAATTGATGTACTGCATATGGCAGATTGTACGCGCTAATGAAACCCAAGTTTTGGTGGGTGTAGTGTCACGACCTGGCAAAAGTGTTGAAGATGACTTGATTTTAGCTGTTGAATTGGTTAATGAACTGTGGCTAGCCAAAATAAAAGCAGAATATGTAACTGTCAAAAAGGTTTTCAAAATATTTGAGCGTGCAGAATCATCAGGGATTCCTTTTGCCGTTATGGTTGGAGTGCGTGATCTGAAAGAAGGAATTGTGAAATTGAGGGATGTGAAGGCCAAGACTGAGGAAGAAATTCCCGGTGATAAAATGGTTGAGGTGCTACTGAAACGATTAGAGACCTCATCTTGAAACAACAGTAGCCTGTTCCAATTAAGCATAGTTCAGTAGAAATTGTGGTCCATTTTATCAAAGAATTTTGGGTTTACTAATTCTTCATACATCATCAATGATTAATGTGAATCATAGACATTTACACTTACACTTTGTACGGATCTTGTAACTTTCTCGATTTCTTCATTTTGTTCATTGTAAAACTGATTGGTTACCTTCAATTCTGGGAAGGCAGTGAGTTTGATCCAATGATCCATGTACTGGAAACTGCATAGATTCGTATGATATAGTGTAAAAGTCTTGCTTTATAGGCCTTATAGCCTATTGGCAGTCAACCTCAACTATATTTTGTTTAATCTAATTATTACTAATTTTTTAGCTGGCAATGACGCTTAGACCATGCATGGTAAGAAAGGTGTTATTAAATGTAACATTGAATTATTATTATTATTATTATTATTTTTTTTTTTTTTTTTTTTTTGACGGTAACATTGAATTCTAAATGTTAAATATTTGCATTTGTCGAAATGGGATGGGTTAAAAAGAAATACTTCGTATTAGTCAAATTAATACCTACGGTTGAATGTGAATCGTGCCACAAAACAAAATAAATTAAGCAACAAAATTCCATAGCTCATTTAGTGATTCCTACGGTGAAAAATTCATACTCCGCTGGGGTATTAAAAAAATTGGAAGGTACGATTAATATAGAATTAACGAGTTAGTTATTAGTGGTTAATGACTAAAAGAGCTATATGATTGAAGAATTGAAGTATACCAAATTACCAATAAACAAGCCGTCCACCTACTCTGTATTCTTTTCTCACTTCTATTATAGGGTTTAGTTTTCTTGATCATTTAAGTTTGAAGTAGCCTAATCAATCAATAATCAATCAATAATAACTTTAACTATATACTAAAAGATACACCAGTAATGACACGTGTCATCATATTTTTTTTATAGAAAAACTTTTACAAGAATTGATAGAGAATATATGTAAAATATTTTCTTTCAAAATTTAGAAAAAAAAAATCGTAAAATAATATATTTACCAACTTAGATATCTAACCATCTCTTCATATAAATTCTTATATAAGTAATTACTTTTTTTTTTTTTACTTATAATGATCATTTATAATAAAAAAAATCATGAATATATATCTTTCAACCTAACATAATTGGTGAATGAAAAACTATCAAGTGTGATATAAAAATAAATAAATAAATAAATAAATAAAATAAAAAAAAACATTAAAATGTCGATAGAAGTATAATACATAGTCATAAAAGATAAAAAATAATTTAAGTTGCTTGATTTGGGATAATATAAAAAATAGATTTTGGACCAAATTATTTTTTATATTTAAATATACTGTAGTTTAAATTGATACTCTGTAACAAAGAGTGAAAAACTGTGCATGACACGAGATCTAACCTTGTTTTTTTTACTATTTTCGACCCTTTTTACTTATGATTTATTATTATTATTATTATTATTTTAGAAATTACAATAATAGTTTTATTATAATAATAAATATGGTAATACTAAGATAGTTACTTAAATTAAGAGCTGCCAAATGGGCAAATTGATGTGTATATATCATGATATTTAGGTTTTTGGTTGCTGATTAAATGAATTTATATACTTTGTAAGTATTTAGTTTTCGCATAATTTATGCAAAACCTAAGGATAAAAAACTCTTAAGAAGATAAATCCAAGTAGCAGTATTGGTATCCCAAGTCAAAGTAAAAAAATAAAATAAAGTAGTCGACTATCGCCAAATACGTGTTCTAGTCCTATAAATATAAATGCCCTAGCCCCTACTAATGAATATAAGACCATTTAATTTCTTTGCAAAAACAAGAAAATTCGTGTAATAATAATGTCAAAATCCGATTGTTCTGTTTCGTTATTGTCAACCCTCCTACCTTCTCTGTTATCAAGGGTCAACATCATTATTGCTATCGTCGAATCATATCAGGTGATGTAACAGAGGGTAACACGAAACATGATACTCGTGCCTATGTGGAAACAATCATATGATGCAATTTGAATTCTCTAGCTTGAACGTATTATTTTTATTAATTTAAAGTTTTTTTTTTGTTAATTATTAATTTAAATTTTTTTATAATATAGATTTCAGGTTTAGAAGAAGCGGAATAATGATAACCAGTGCCGAATCTAGCATTTTTTTAGTGGGTTCAATCAACATGAAACAAATTATATAATTATTTACAAAGTATATATTAACAAATTACATGAAACTATATATATATATTATATTGACACATACGTATAATTATGTGTATCAATAGAATACTCATAATTTTCATAATATCTTTCTCATATTAAATAATTCAATTGATCTGTTGACCCTAGATTTTTTTTTTCCAAAAACTACGTGGGTCAAATTGACCTCATTACCTTGAATTTAAATCCGTCTCTAATGATAACGTTCAACTTTTTTTTTTTTAATAAATAGCGTTCAATCTTTTAAATCATTTATGGTGTGTTTGGATAAATCATTGTTTTGATAACAAATTAAGGGGTGAGGGAAATGGAGGGAAAGGAAATGAAAAGAAAAGTTGTGTAATTATCAAAGAATAAAATCTTTCCAAATTTGAAAAGATTTGGAAGGAAAACATATTATACAAACAGATTAATTGTAAAAAGACAATTGTACCCTTTTATTTTCCTTAACATTATACACTATAATCAACCTTATTTTCTACTTTGTGAAATGGAAAATGTTTCTGATTTTTGGGTTGAATAATTTTGATTAGACTCATTAGATGGTAATTGCTTATTTTTTTAGTGCTTTATTTATGTTTGATGTATAAAATATTTATCTATATGTATATTAAAGGTAATGAATTTGATTTTACACACAAGGTGTTCGAGAAAATGCTTAAATGAGTTTCTAATGTGTACAGCCTATGCAATTCCTCTTTCCTCTTTTCCCTTCACTTTCACCTCTATCCAAACAAAGGAATGAAAATTCTTCCTCCCTCCCCTCCCTTCTTTTCCCTTTCCTTCCTAAATCTATACTATTATTTTATAACAGGAAGTTGGAAGGAAACCTGTCCACTTCCTATTTTTTCTGAATAAAAAATATTAACAAAAAAATAAAAAAAAATAATCTCAAAGTTGTCTCCTTTTCTGAGTTTTTTTTTTTTTCGGAAAAATTGTTTTAAATAATACGACCGTTAGTCCGTCCACTAAAAACAAGTCCACCTTTTGATTATCCCAGAATAATATCACCTTTGTTTTTACCTACAATCTGAATGACCGATAAACAATTTTATTTTATTTTAATAAATTCGTTTAACACTTTAATTATCTCTTAATTAAAGCTTTAATTATGGTTAACAATTAAAATAATTATTTTTTTTAAAAAAAAAAGCATCCCCCACCCAACCTCCTCCACCAGCAACCCTTTCCCTTTCCTCGACGCCTTGCCAGCAACCCCTTCCCTACCCTTTGACGCCGACCGCATCCAGACCTCCTTCCCCCAGCGCCGGCGCTAACCCCCTCCCCCTTGTCGCGCATCACCCCCTCCCTCTTTCCCTGAACGGCTGAACCAACAACCCCTCTCCCGAAACCCCTTAAATCTAAACGGTAGTGGGTCTGGGTTTTAGAGGCAGGCCGAGGTTTTTGGGGTGGTGGGTCTAGGGTTTCAAGTAGAGGGTGGGTTTTCGAAGTGATGTGGATGATTTTGCGGAAAGGGGAAGAACGATTCAGGTGGCTGTGGTGAGTTTTTAGGTGGTCGGATTGGTTTCTAGACGGTTATGACAACTGGGCGGTTGTGACAACTTGCTTGGTTTTTTGGGGTGGTTATGACAACTTGCTTGGGTTTTTGGGGTGGTTATGACAACTGGGCGGTTGTACTGTAGGGTTAACAGTGGTGGAGGATGGACAATTGTTGGGTCAGCGATAATGGTTGAAATGGGGAAGGGGTTAACCGGAATTGATAGAAGGGGTTAACATTTTTTTTTTAATTTTCTTTTTAACCAATATAATAATAATTTCAAAAAGTTAAAAACATTATAAAAAAAAATTAATTTACAAACCAATAAAATGATGACACGTGTCCATATAACCTATTAATCAGGTTACCATTTCTTACCAACAGGTAATAACCTGTTTAAAGTGGACACCCCCTAAAAATGGTATTATTCTGGGATAATTAAAAGGTGGACTTGTTTTTAGCGGACGGGCTAAAGGTCGTATTACTTAAAACAATTTTTTTTTTTTTTTTGGTTTTACAAAAATTTAAGCCTTATTAATCTTACTGAAACGTCCTTTACAAAAAAAAAAAAAAAAAAAAAAAAAAAATCAGGCTGAAGCGTTTCAATTTTTTTTTCCTTTTAAACCTGTTATTTCTTTTCCTCTTATCATTGTTCTTCACCTGTTTCTAAAATTTGTTTCTTTAATAGTCAGTTTCACATTTCCCTCTCCTATTTATATCACAATACACATGCAATTGATCTCTCCAACCAAATTTTGAGTTTTTGCTTAGAAGAAATTGGGTTTTTCGTGATCGGTTTCGTCAGATATGTTACAACAAGGTTTGTATTTTTACCAATTTAAAATTTTGGTTTTAGATCTGAAATCGGGTTGCACTGGTGAATTTATTTGTATAGATTTGTGATATTATGAATTATTTATTTTATTTTTTCAGAATTTATATTTTTTCACTCTCATTGTCTATCATTGTTAATTGATGCTTCTTTTTACTCTGTTTTAAGAACTATTGGGTCGTCAAGTTTGTGGGATTGTTTTGGCTGATTTGGTCAGATTTTTGTTTATTTGCATGACAAAAATTGGGTTTATGGTATCTGACGAGTGATGAATAATCTGTTAGTGGGACGTTGAGAAGAAGTTAATTTATTTTCCATCTCCAATTATCACAAGTTTCGTATCCAATTGTCATAAATTCCGTCAAAAATTATGATTATTAGGCAGAATTGTTGTGATCATCTGATTATCCTTTTTCTATGCAATGTTTATTTGGTATAAATGTACATCTTTTCTGGTTTTATGAAATTCGCTTACATATATTAATATTTTTTGGTAAAAATTTACATCTTTTCTAATTTATAGAAATTCGGTTTTATATATTAATATTTTTGGGGATAAATGCTTAAATGGTATTGATATATTGTTGAATTTTTTAAAATTTATGAGAGTTTAGATCAATAAATCACAATACGCTCAAATACCAAAAAAATAAAAATAATATAATATATTAGACTATCGTGCATCGCACGGGTTTAAGACTAGTTTCTATCCAAACATAAGATTATATATAGAATTAATGATCTTTAGACCTACTACTACTACTACTACTAATAATAAT